GTCATAAAGGCTTAGTCATGTCTCTTGACCAACCAATGAGCTGGTGCCCTGACAGGGACCAACCCAATGAAAGCAATTAAACTCCAGAGCCTAAGAAATAATCAAACACTACTCACTTGTGAATTCACAGCTTTCAATAAATCACAGCACATACCCCCTGAGGTCTCTTGGGGTTTCTATAGCCTTGATACATACCTTGTGATCATATCTGATCAAGAAACTGACCCTAGGGAAGCCCAGAGCCCCATAAATAATCAAACACTGGATAGTAAGTCACATGTGTAATTCACAGCTTTCAATAAATTACAGTACATACCCTGGACCTTTAGGGTTAGGGTCTCTCAGGGCTTGATGCTGGCAGTAGGGTTTAGTAACATAATGAGGTTAAAGGGAGAGTTAGATAAAGGGTTTGAGGGCAGAACCCTGGGCTAATGCGCGAGGTGAGCCATTCCTCCCATCCTGGCGCTCCTTCCACTCCAAATTTGCTGTGCAGGGCAAGACAGCACACATGCTGGGAAAGGAAAACGTTTACGCCCTTACAGGTGCTGAACAAATACAAGGAAGAAACACCTGCTGGAATGGTGAGGGCGAAAGGTTCGAATGTATTATTTCGCGAGGGCAAGTATCATGCGTCCGGTAATCCTATTAGGCTGCATTTGTAACCGAACACAGCTGCCGGCTGATTGCTGATTAGCTTGACAGTCAGGCGATAATCATTGTGCCTTAGTACGGGGTTCCACTAGAATAGCATCGCTGGCAACTGATGTGACATGGCATGTGGAGAGTGGGACACGTAAATCGGTACGCAGGGTGGATGAATGCGGGGAAAGGGTGATGTTTGTTGCATGACATGAAGGGCTGAACATCCGGGCCGAGCGGGGGAGTACATGCGGTCGGCAACGGCGGGTGGATGGTCGAAATAGGACAACGAGGGACAGCGCGAGAGTCAACCCGCCTATAAACACCTCCAGGTCATTGAACCCACTTACCCCTTTCGGCCGGTCCGTGTTCCACGTCAAAGCACATCGGCTGAGTCTCTCTAGTCCAGACGACGACGGCGACTGCCAGGTCGATGCCCGCATACTAATACCGTGATCGCGAGGACTGCTTTCGAGTACAAGCCCACCATCGACGGTCATGAGTGCCCTACTATGCCTCAGGGCGACTCAGGGCACGCGACCCTTCCATTCCAAGCAGGGTACGTATGCGCATATACTTCGATTGGAGCCTCATTAATGCCTCATTCCATCAGCGGCAGCTCTTCTGCTCCGTGCATTCCACCGATCCCCAATTGCGAGAGCAGAGGAGACTGCCACCCCCGCCGGCACCCCATACAGCAAGCTCACTGTCGGAGTCGCCCTTGAGACATTTCCCGATGAGCGTCGCGTCGCTCTCACACCTCAGAATGCCGCCGCCTTGCTCAAGAAGGGCTTCTCTCGCGTGCTCGTCGAAACAGGCGCTGGGCGTGAGGCTCAGTTCCTCGATGACCAGTACAAGGCTGCCGGCGCTACCATCGTGAACAAGGACGACCTATATGCTGGAACCGACATCCTTCTCAAAGTTCGGCCTCCGTTGTTTGGACAGACCTCGACAGAAGTAGACAAGATGAAGAAGGACAGCACTCTCGTCAGCTTCCTCTACCCTGGTCAGAACAAGCAACTCATCGAGGCGCTGGGGAAGAAGGAGATTAACGCTTTGGCAATGGAGTGTATACCTCGTGTGTCGCGGGCTCAGGTGTTTGATGCTCTGAGGTGAGCAATTTACTTGAAATGCCTTGAGCCGGCACTCATTCAAGAAGCTCTATGGCCAATATCGCTGGTTACAAGGCCGTCTTGGAGGCTGCTAACCACTTTGGTCGTTTCCTGACAGGACAAACGACTGCTGCTGGGAAGATCCCTCCCTGCAAGGTCCTTGTCATCGGTGCTGGAGTCGCTGGTCTCTCTGCTATTGCCACTGCTCGTCGTATGGGAGCTATCGTCCGTGGTTTTGATACCCGTCCGGTCGCTCGCGAACAGGTCGAATCTCTGGGCGCCGAGTTTCTTGAAGTCACAGGCATTCAAGAGGACGGCTCCGGTGCCGGGGGATATGCCAAAGTCATGAGCAAGGAGTTCATTGAGAAAGAGATGGAATTGTTCATGGACCAATGCCGGAACAACGTCGACATAATCATCACTACTGTACGATTGCCCTGCGCTTCGTGTACCAACACGCTGACCATCATCCTAGGCGTTGATCCCCGGCAAGCCAGCTCCCAAGCTGATTACGAAGGAGATGGTCGCAGCCATGAAGCAAGGCTCTGTCATCGTCGATCTAGTTGCTGAGGCCGGTGGGAACTGCGAGCTGACTCAAGCCGGTAAAGTCGTTCAGAACAATGGCGTCACCATCATCGGTATGCTCCTGTTTTCACCGACGGCGTGCATGAGTTTGATTCCCTCTAGGATACACCGATCTTCCGTCTCGTCTGCCCACACAATCATCCACGCTCTACTCCAATAACATCACGAAGTTCTTGCTTTCGATCAGCAGTACACCTGGCTACTTCAATATTGACCATAGTGATGACGTTGTTCGTGGCGCCTTGATCCTCGAGAAAGGCAAGCTCATGTGGCCGCCTCCCCCATCTGCCGTCGCTGCTCCCCCACCTCTTCCACCCAAGATTGAGGCAAAGGAGGAAGTCACCGCTATTACACCCTGGCAGAAGGCATCTCGCGAGGTCGCGCTCACGACTGCGGGTGTGGGTGGAGTATTGGCACTCGGCAAGGCAACCGGCTCGGCTTTTATGGACAACTTCTTCACTTTTGGTCTCGCTTCTCTCATCGGCTACCGCGTAGTATGGGGTGTCGCTCCAGCATTACACTCTCCCCTCATGAGTGTCACGAACGCTATCTCTGGCATGGTTGCAGTAGGAGGTCTCTTCGTCATGGGAGGCGGTTATTTCCCGGGCACGATCCCACAAGCGCTTGGTGCGCTCTCAGTGGCCCTCGCATTCGTGAACATATTTGGTGGCTTCGTTGTTACGCAGCGCATGCTGGATATGTTCAAGCGACCCACTGATCCTCCAGAATACCCGTGGTTGAACTTCGTCCCAGCGGCAGTATTTACTGGGGGCTTTATCACTTCGGCCGCGACCGGCATGTCTGGTCTCGTTCAAGCTGGTTACTTGGCAAGCAGTGTACTATGTATTGGTGCGTATGGTGCTCTCGGAGGTACGGCGCACTGATGTTTTTCAGGTGCGCTCTCGGGGTTATCATCCCAGACTACGGCACGTCAAGGCAACGCTTTCGGCATTCTCGGCGTAGGAAGTGGTGTGTTGGCATCCCTCGGTGCTGTTGGCTTTGCGACTCCGGTTCTGGCACAGTTTGGTGCCGTGGCTGGTATAGGCGCTGTGGTTGGCACTTGGATCGGTCGCCGAATTACCGGCACTGATCTTCCACAGACGGTTGCGGCGTTGCACTCCGTTGTCGGTCTTGCTGCCGTTTTGACATCAATTGGCAGCGTCCTTGGGAATCTCACCCATGTTTCCACTTTGCACATGGTCACCGCCTACCTCGGTGTTCTGATCGGTGGGATTACATTCACTGGCTCCATTGTGGCATTCCTCAAGTTGGCAGGGAAGATGAGTTCCAAGCCGCTCGTATTTCCCGGCCGCCATCTGGTCAATGGCGGAATGTTAGCTGCCAACCTTGGTCTGATGGTTCCATTCCTCTCAGCAGGACCCGCTGCTCCCCTAATTGCCGCTGGTTGTCTGCTTGGAAATACGGTCCTCAGCTTTATAAAAGGGTATGTTCCAAGGCTATTATCTGGCACGGAGCAATCTGACAGTCGTATCAGCTGGACTCTGACTGCGGCTGTTGGAGGGGCAGACATGCCCGTCTGTATTACCGTCTTGAATTCGTACTCCGGTTTTGCCCTCGTCGCCGAAGGTCTCATGTTGGAAAATCCTCTCCTCACAACTGTCGGTAGTTTGATTGGAGTGAGTGGTGCAATTCTGTCGTACATCATGGTAATGCACCCAATGCCTCTCTCGTCTCTATCTTACCGGTCTGTAGTGCCGAGCAATGAATCGATCAATAACCAATGTATTATTCGGCGGTATTCCACCTATGCCAGCTCACGCGGATGGACCTAAAATCACGGGAACCGTAACCGCTACTACGGTAGAAGAGGTCGCAGAAGTCTTGAAGAATGCTGAAAGCGTAATCATCACGCCTGGCTATGGAATGGCTGTTGCTAAAGCTCAGTTCACGATTGCCGAAATCACGAAGGATCTCGCTGCCATGGGTGTGAAAGTGCGGTTCGGTGTACATCCTGTCGCTGGACGCATGCCTGGCCAGCGTGAGTGTTGTTGATTTCATCATGCCTTCATCTGACTTAGTGTCCGTAGTGAACGTGCTGCTGGCTGAGGCATCCGTTCCGTATGATGGTATGTGTCACCTGCTTTAGAGCAGTTGCAGTGCTTACCGTCTGTAGTGGTCCTGGAGATGGATGACATCAACGAGGACTTTGCCGACACTGATGTTGTCTTAGTTATTGGCGCAAACGACACTGTGAATCCTATCGCGCTCGAGCCTGGCTCCTCAATCGCGGGTATGCCAGTGCTCCATGTTTGGAAAGCCAAGCACGTTATAGTCATGAAACGAAGCATGTCAAGTGGCTACGGTATGTGCTCAGAACGATTCCTATCTGTATGCTCATATCATGTCCAGCGGACGTCCCCAACCCGTTGTTCTATATGCCCAACACGCGCATGTTGTTCGGTGACGCGAAGACCACAACCGATGCTATTAAGAAAGCGATAGAGGAGAAATCCTAGATATTGCTAGACAGTTACTAGACATCTTTCCTTCGCACTTCTGGGAGGTATGTTCCATTTGTATCTTAGTCATTCTTGTTGATTACCTAGTGGATCTTGGCAATTCAATCGAGTCATAGATGACATTCGCCGGACTGTGTTGTACGGGCCAATCGGGACCCGAAAAGGAGTAACATAGCCAGTCTGTAATCATACAACAGGAGCGCAACCAAAACGACGGACACGAAGTGTCAAGCAATCAACTTGGGTGTGGCGGGCTCATCAGTGCCCTTCTTGATAATCTCAACCCACTTCCGTGGGAACCAACCCGTTCTCCCATCCCTCGTCCTGCCTCTCCACCACTCTCCTTCCACGCCAGTTACAGGATCCAACTTGCTCAGCACGGCGACGATCTCGTTCTTCTTCAGAGGTAACTCAACAGGATCGGTGGTATCGAAGGGGTACAGTGAACGAGCAAAAGTGAGGCTGGATGGGTCGAGGATCTCTTGCCCGTTTGCAAGGGCATTTTGCGGGTCCGCGATTGGCGGAAGAGGCTGCCTCTTGGACAGCAGGTTAATGAGCTTGTGCATCATGTAAGGCAATCCGAATGCAGCAAGGAGGAAGATGATGAGGGGTTTGCGACTGGGTCTGGGAAGTGGTCGACCATCCGGTCCTTTCGCTCCTTGAAGGAATGCGTGAAAATCGCGGGAAAGGGAGGTCGCGGTGCGTTCGCCTCTCCACCAGCCTCTCAACCAAGCCAGCAAGCTGAATACGCCCAATACCTCTCCTAGATACTTGCGAAGAGTTGCAAATTGATCTGCCACGCCGATCATCGCGAAGAAGCTGGAATGAGTTGCCATATACGTAGACTCAAGCATCTGAGCGAAGGAGCCAAAGGTTTGGACGAGGGAGGAGAGGAGTTGGAAGGTTTGGGAGGTTGATGCCTCCATCCGTTGAGTCAATGACGGGTTGTTTGGATCGTATCCTGGCTGCCCTGGCATAAGAGGGTTGTAGGGGCTGCTGTATCCCCCGTATCCCCCTCCATAACCACCGTATCCTCCATAGGAGCCAAAGCGCGAGTAAGGTGACCCAAATGATGAGTAAGGTGAAGAATAGGGTGCGCCGAATGTGTTACCATACGCGGAGTAAGGTTGTGAATAGCTGGATACAAAAGGCTGAGCGAGTGCTGATGATCCTGCGACTGTGGGTAATGGATTGGTGATGGATGACGGGCGCGTAGGGAGTGATGGTGCCGAGTCGACTGAAGGGCGTGTCTCAGCTGGCATGGAAGGGGCGGTGGCGGTTACGGTCGGTGCTGCTGCTGCTGCTGATACTTGCGTTTGACGTTCCCAGGGCTTAGGAGGAGCGGCCATGATGATGATGGTGGTGGTGGTGGAAGAGGAGGAGGAGGAGGAGGGAGAGGAAGAGAAGAAGAAAGAGAGATGCTTGGGGCGTCGATGTCGGTTATGAGGCGCATTTCACATGTCAAATCCCTCAGAGTAGGGGGTCACATGACCTTGCTCCCACTCTTCAATTCACAGAGCCTATCTCTCCCTTACACCTTAAGCTTATCATAAATTATTAATAGAAGTGGACATTACAATATTCACGTTCAAGTTTTGCAACTGGATACACGGAACACCTTCCTTGACAACCAAAGTTCCGGGTAAGGAAACCTCCACGTCATTCATGCTTCTCCGAAGTATTTTCTGTAACTTTTCCGGTTCACCTGAGTTACAATGTGTCTGGTGTCTTCTGTGTGGAGCATCACTTGTAGCTATTACAGAAGTAGTCTACCTGTACTATATGGTTGACATGGTGAAAAGGCAGAACTTCTCGGTATGATAATGTGGCTATGCTGTTAATGGAGGAACAAGGGATGTTTAGGGCGGAATGGCCGAACCCTGTTATACAAACCCTCAATTCCTTCTGGTCGTTTCCGTCGTGCGCCCTCGTGCCCTCCTCTCTTGTAATCCTCTTGCCTCTCTCCTCTCATCTTCTTTTCTCTCACCTCTAATCACCTCTTATTATCGCTGTATCCATGGCTCGTCCACGCTGCTATTTTGATATTACTATCGCCGGTCAACCCGCAGGCAGGATCATCTTCGAGCTCTACGCAGACAAGGTCCCTCGCACTGCGGAGAACTTTCGCGCTCTCTGTACAGGCGAGAAGGGCATCGGTCAGGCAGGAAAGCCCCTCCATTATGCTGGGTGCTCTTTCCATCGTGTCATCAAGGGGTGAGCACCACATCCTCGGGTACTGGTAGTGCTTTACTGATTATCCCGCACCTCCAGCTTCATGATCCAGGGGGGTATGTTGCTTTCCTTATTTCCCACGAGTCTTCCGAAACTTACCAAGCCCTTCAAGGTGACTTTACTGCTGGGAATGGTTCGTCAAGAAATGCTCGCCTCATCGGACTCATACTGACCCGTCACCACCAGGGACTGGCGGCGAGTCTATCTACGGCGAGCGCTTCGAAGATGAGGCTTTCCCCGTGAAGCATGAGAAGCCCTTCCTCCTCTCCATGGCCAATGCTGGCCAGAATACCAACGGATCCCAGTTCTTCATCACTTGTGCACCTACGCCTCACCTCGACGGGTATGTCCACTGACGTTGTCGCACGACCACCCTTACAATTTCATATTCAGCAAACATGTCGTTTTCGGAGAGGTCATCAAGGGAAAGAGCGTCGTCCGTAAGATCGAGAATACCCCTACTGGACTAGGCGACGTCCCTACCGGTGCCGTCGTCATCGCCGCCTGCGGAGAACTCTCTCCAGGCAGCGACGAAGCTCCCGTTGTTACCGTCACTGGTCCCGCCGCTGCGGACCACTACGAAGATTACCCGGACGATGAGGCGGATGCGGCTGTACAAGACCCAAAGGTTACTATGGAAATCGCGACTGAGTTGAAGAATATCGCAGGGTTGCTCTTTAAGGCTCAGAAGTTCGATGAGGCGCTAGACAAGTATCAGAGTACGCTGGCATCGTATATGCGCCTATATGCACGAGCTGACAGACGTGCAGAGGCGCTGCGGTACCTTGATGTACATCCTGTTCTCCCAGAAGATGTCAGTCCGGAGATCAAGAGCGCCTGGCCAACCGTCCTCGTTCCTATCCTCCTCAATATCGCCCTCGCTGGTGTACGCGTTGCCACACCTTTGTCTCGCCAACTCACGATCAGTAGCGCAACCCGCGCACTCAACGTTCCTAACCTGACACTTGCTGATCAAGGGAAGGCTCTGTACCGTCGTGCGCTGGCGCACGTTGCTACTGGAGATGATGAGCTGGCGGAGCAGGATCTGAAGGAGGCAGCATCCAGGGTACCAGGAGACGCTGCGATCAAGGTCGAGAAAGAGAAGCTGGAGCAGCGACGCAAGCAGAAGCGTGAGAAAGAGAAGAAGGCGTACAAGTCTCTCTTCTCGATGTAGATGTAACGACCACTTTTAGTCTACGAGTCACGTCTTACAACTGTATCGAAGAATGTCATTAGGGGGCTCCTCCACGCCTCCGCATGTTCCCCTGCCTCGCTTGACATGTGACGATCAGATACAGAACTGCGCACAGCTTCGTCAATCATACGAATCTGTTGAGATTCGCTGGCTGTCACGCCAAATTGGCTGCGCAGATCTTCTTGAGTAAGTGTAATCCCTGTTCGTTGTTGGTATGTCTCGTTTGACTCGGATGCGAGGAATGAATCGTCCGGTGGTGATTCTTCCTGCGACAGGAATGCATTTGGGTATACGACTCGGAGCTGATCAACCGGGGAGTTGCTTCTGTCATGGTTGGGGCTATGTTGTGATTCCGACTTGCTGCCTGTTAGGCCGTATTGACTGTCCAGGTCTGGGGGAGTATAAGAAATGTCATGTGCTGGGAGGTATCCCTCGTGGGAATCAGAAGCCAAGAACGAGCCATCTGGCGGAGAGTTTTCTTGCGGTAAGTAAGCGTTCGGGTAGACGATCCGCACTGTGTTTGGGTATACGATGCGCAGTTGGTTTGCCGGGGTAAAGCTCCTCGTGTGATCGAAGCCGTGTGGGGATTCGGCACTGCCGTACGTAGCTTTTTCCTTGTCCTTCTTTTGGTTGCCGATATCTGGGGAGTCGGCGCAGAGCGTAGGGGAGCTCGCAGCCGAGGACATGGCCGGGTGCTGCAAGATAGGCGGGGGCAGGGAGGATGGGGCGCGAACAGGCTTTCCGATGCCCTTTTGGCGGACGGATAACTCCTGTCGCCGTTTTCGTCGCCATCTGCAACAGCAGACGAATAGGAGGCAGAGGAGGCCTAACAAGAAGACACCGCATAGACTGGCAATCAACGCGATGGTGCCTGCCTTCGACAGACCACCGGCTGCGATTGCCGAGGAAGGGGCCTCTGTCGGTGCAGGGCTCGAGGAGGTAGTGGGAGCGGCCGAGGTAGAGGAATGGAGTTGGAGAATGACGGTAGATGTGGATGTCAAGTTGGTTGACATGTCCCACGCGAGGAGTTCAACACTGACGCTGTCATAAGACGTATTCGATGCTGATCCGAATAGTCCTGTTCTAGCATCATTTAGCCGGAGCCACTGTCCAGCTTCCTGCGGATTGTAGAATGCTTCAACCCATAGCTGTGGAGATTGTGGTGTGCGCATATATTGGGCGAAGGTGTAGTTGAGGGGACCGGAGGTGTAGTTGAATTGAGGGAGGTCGAGAGATGTGAACTGATAAGGATGGACATCAACAAAGAGCGTGGTAGGGGCTGAGTCAGAGCCCGGATAGGTCAGGTTCAGGGGTATTTGGATGGGGTCGGAGGTGCCGTTCAAGTAGGAGTCGGGTGTAACCCCAGAGAGAAAGCGTGTTGAACTGTCGTCGATGTCAGTCATGCCCACCATGAAGTTGTTTAAACGAAACGCACCTATCGTAGCTCAACCACGGTGCGGTTGTCAAATCCCACTCTGCTCCAACTTGGCTAGGATCGACAGTCTCTCCGTTGAACTTGACACCTTCAGGCCAAAAGTAGTACTTGACATGGTCACGAACGGTCGTGTTGAAGTCACCAAGTCTTGAGTCCATCTATCCGACGAAAGAAGAAGCGCAATAGATGCAGCTTCGAGAACCTATTAGAGTAGAGAGAGTAATGTAAGAGTAAGAACGAAAGGAACGTGAGGGGATTATGTGAAGGAGTCGAGGAGGACGGACATTACTTACATTGCGGAGTGCGAGGAGGAGCGACGTGGGGTCCAAACACGAGCATTCCTCCGTTGACTGACCGCTGGATGGCCGTCATAGTCTAGTTTGTGTATGTGTGCTCACCAGTGTTATGTGCGATATATCAACATTGATAAGAAGAATGAACAGATGTTTGTCAATAAGACGCATTCCAAGTGTGCGACATACCCACAGTACATACCGGAGCCTTTTAGACTTCAAAGCTTAACCCAGTCCCTCATCCCAGTCGGACCTACCCTTACTTACGTTGTTCCGTCCCATGTGTATCCACCAAGGGGTATCACATACGTCGCATACTGCGAAGTGTCACTATTCAAGGTAGAAATGCCTGGAGCGCACGAGGATAACACGGCATCTTCATAGTGCACACACATGCGCCACATAATCTGAACAAAGCGTCCTACCCAAGAATCGGAACAGGGGAAGAAACTTGGAAGAAGTGTCTTCGGCGAGGAAAGTTAGGAAACAAGCTAAGAATACACACAAGCTAAACAGCAATCGAAAGGACTGTCAGGCCTCGTCAACGGGCTCCTGACTCATGAGCTGGAAATCAGCACTCTCATCACTGTGCCTTTCTTGACTGATCGAGACGTCAGCTCCTTTGGAATGTGGCTCGTTCTCAGCCGTTTCGGACACGCTGTTGTGCTGGGTGATCGATGAGTTGCGTGGACTGGGTTCTTCCAACGGAAGCGCGAACTCCTTCCTTATGGCGATCGCCTCTTCTACATAGCGAAGAGACAGTTCTGCATCTTCCGGACGACGACGCACCTGAAAGTGGATGTCGTGAATCTTGGCAAGGAGCTCCAGGATAAACACCATCAATCCCGGGGGATACCCTTCGCTTTCACGGAACATCTGAGCGGCATCGCTTAACGCAGCCTGCGAGGCTGTGAAATCTGTATTCTCCTTGCCATGTGAATAGCGCAATGCAAGCGTTCGACCAATGTTGGCAAGCGAAAGAAGCTTGTCATTCGTACGGTGCGGTGCATCCCCAAAGGCTTGCTTTGCAATTTCGAACGCATCTTCGATGTCTTTCGGAAGCCCGAGTGCTTGATAGCGATCGCACAGACAATCGACGAGGGTATGCCTAACAGAAAAGTGTGTGAAAGCGATAGTTGTCAGTGCACGGCGATGCAAGTTGATAGCGTTATCGAGATCTTCTGGAGCGTTGTGGACTTTGTAGCGCGAGTAGTAGGCCAGACCGAGAGCGATAAGGCTGGTAGACACCTCGTGAGAAGCCGGCGCATGACGTTCTTTCATTAGCTCGACGGCTTCCGCGCTTCGCTCGATTGCTTCTTCAAAGTACGAGGCGTCGTCACCAGAATCCGCGCGTTCGCGGCACAATGTTGCTAACCAAGTGAGGTGTCTTGCACGCAGACGATGTGGAGTCTCTGCAGCTCGCCGTGCATAGTCCTGTGCATTAATCAAGTCTGTTTTGTCTTGCCGCGAGTTCATGTCCCAGCGTGAGTAGGAAGCGCAAGACAGTCCATGTGCGGCAAGCACAAATACGGCATCCGTATCCTTTGCTTCGTGCAGGACGGATGAGCACAGACGGATCGCTTCGGAATTGGCTTTGCGGGCGGGAATTGTGTTGAGACACCAGGCCAGTGCAATAAGAAGGTCCATCTCAATGGCGGTTGCATCCTCTACCGTCATCATCTCCATGCCATCCAGGGCTCTCCCAAAACAATTATGAGCCTGGGAAATATGTTCGCGAACACCGGTGTGATGATGTAGCGCGGCGAATAGGTGTCCAAGCGCATACAGTGCTTTAGTATGGATCGTGCTACCCGGTGTGACGGAAGCGAGCACATTTTCAAGCATCTGGCGAGCGTCCTTGATGTCTTTTGGCACGCCATCCCGCTCGAAACGTAGACGCAGGCAAGACGCCATTGGCACGGTCCACTTTGCCGCTTGGTCGGGGTCTGCAAGTAAGTTGGGAAGGACAAGGGATAATGCACGGTCGCAATCGAGGATCGAGGCATCGAGAATGGCATTGTCGCCCAAGTGCTCATATTCACGGATCTGCTTTTCGACGCGCTCTAGGCCAAAGTGCTCGTAGCTGTCCACTCTGAAGACTTTGGGCCGAGCGAGTTTCACGACGAAACGAGAGAGCCTGCAAATGGGTTAGTGCTTAAACGGCAAACAGACCAATCGCCTACTCACATTCTAGTGGCCATGGCGGGGCGAGTTGCCCGGAACAGCTCCAGAGGATTGGGATTATGTACCGCTGCGTACCGTACAGAAGACGATAGCGTTCCGCCGATATTGCTAGCCCAGCGGATGACAGTACACAAATCGGCCCAGATAATGGGATTCTAGTTGATACGCTCGGCCAGCAAGAGGAGCAGAATGCGATAGAACCCTCTCAATAGAACTTTGTGACATTACCGTCCGAACAATCTCATTGAGTTGACGATCCAGCAGAAGGACAGGATGGACCCGCACCGCGGATAGGTACATGACTGGTTGCGGTCAAACGTGATTAGCTCCTCATCAGTGTCGAAGATATGCAGATATCCTGGTCGTTCGACGATGGCAATGAACGTGCATGTACGATGGGCCATTCTGAAGTGGGCACGTCATTGCTGAGGGCCAGGCTGGCGGTAAAATCGTCATCCGAACCATGCCAGCAGCATATGGGATTGTATGCAATCGAGAATATTCGGACAGGAAGGTCTGTGAGCTGGCATGCGGTCGACGTAGGAAACGGTGGGCTGGAAGGACGAGGCAGATTCGATGTTTCGATGCAACGTGGCATTACCCCGCATTTGTGCGCCGCATGGACGTGTCCGCCCAGATTGGAATTGACCTACGTGTCGCGTGACGCAGTTGTAGCTAACCCTGCCACAAGGTTAGTCAATACTCGGAACATTCCCCCCTCCCCATCAAATGAACCACTTGACTTGAATTGCTATTCCTATGGGTACATCAATCTTTATATTTATACTGTTGGCCGGTAAGTAATGCTAAAATGAGCGGTCTGGGTCGGCTCGGATGATGCAATCAACATAGGGGTTAACGATCTGATCGACCGGCGCCAAATCGAGTTGGAGTGCAATCAGAAGTCGCCGGTCCTGGTAGTGTGCGCCTCGCTGGGGGTGCTGACGGGGCTGAACTCGTTGCGAGAACGGGGAGGAGAGCCGGAGACGGCAACCGAGGTCTGAGCAATGGCATTGAGGTCGACTGTCCCTCCACTGAGCATAAATACATGAGTAAGAAGTAAAACGTACGAGGACCGCCGTTCTTGATACCAGTCCTGATGTTGATAGCCTCGGTTTTAACCCTCTCCTCTTCCTCTGTGAATTCGCCTGGCTGAACAGTCTTGGGGCTCAGAGGCTCCTGACGAGAGGCATCCTGTCCGAGATCCTCCTCGAATCTCTCGTCCTCGTCAGCTTCGAGTTCGAGTCGCGCCTCATCCTTGAGGGAGCCCCATGAGTGAGGACCGCCACCTTGTTTCTTCATGGATTTGTCAAGACCGTTCCTAGCTTCAGATCTGTTCATGATGTCAGAGGAGTGCATATATGCGTTGAAAGAGGTTAACTTGCCTGTCCTTTATGAGAGCATGAGGATCTGTAGAGCTAAGGGTAGTCGTGTGAGCTCAAACGCGTCACCTGGTGAGTGATGATGGACTTACCGCTGAGTACGGGTCATGTTAGGGAGTATGTAGGATGAGGGGATGGTCCGTTAGAGGGCCTTAGATGGATGTTAAATGGATGGAGTTATGCTGGGGTGATGGAAAGTGAGAGGGAGAGAGTGCCGAGGGAGGAGTGGGTCTTATATATGCACACACGATTGGGGGATGGTTGCGCGATGTGGTGATTGGCCGGTCGGGCCATAGACCAATTGGCTGGGCAGGTGACGAAAGGGGGAGAATGGTCTAGTGGGTCTACCCGCACCTGACATCATACTCACGCGACTCCATTTTCCCCTTCACCCGGACCCATCTCCTCTTCCCCTAGTTCACTTAATTATCTTTTTCTAGTAACTTCTCCTCGTGGTCACTTCTCAACCATCTCTCTCTCAACTGGTCTCCTTCTCAACAATTATGTGATATCCTCGTTTGCGGTTCGCCTCGCACCGGGCGGGTCGGATTGGGGCTGAGCCGCTCGGCGGGTCTCTCTGTCACGCGACACGTTACATCCCTGGCGGTTTTCTTCCCTTACTTTGACGACTCCAACACTATTCACTGATTGACTATTGCTTGTAAAGGCGTCGTCATACTCGAAGACCCCATCATGAGTCTGAAGAACGTGCTTGTCACGTCTGGTCGTGACAGGCATCATCAGCAATATTCTGCCCAAAATATGTGTTCACGAGCGAGACCTGCCTTCCGCTCCTCACAGCGGAAAGTGCCGCGGCCGTTGCGCAGCCTCGATTTCAGGCAGTGCCATTTCCACCTTTACTACTCTCCGCTCTAAGACCAGCCTCATTCCACCGCACCCAAATCCCTACCAACAGGGCCTTTGATACTTGATTCTTTGACAAGGCCTGGAGCGGATCCGACAGCTTCGTTTGAAACGGGCTTTTCGTTATACATCCCTGGTCTGGCTGTTGCCCGATAAGGGCGGTTCGCACACCAAGGAAGTTGTAATCTGTATCATTGATGATTGTATGTATGACTACAAGGGGCATTCTGGACCCCATTTAATGCTCGTTACAGATGAGAAAATACAGTGCATAGTTGCTTTAGGGACCCGTGAAATGATGAAACTGCGAGAAATGAAACCCAATCTCTACACCCATCGGCCGCTGATAACCAGATCACATCGCCGAAACGCTGGTGTGAAAGGATTGATTTTATTGGGGGTATCGATTGCGTGGATGAGACTGCGATCGAGGATGCGAAGACAAGACTTGATGCGTGATGTGATTGATGTTGTAGAAGGCGCGGACGACGCGCGTTGCGAATGGTGATCATGAGAGAAAGGCAAGTGCAAAGCTGAGATAGTGTCGTTGTTGATATGCGTAGTATGATTGCGTGCTTGAATGCGAATGCGGAGGGGGCGACGGGATGATAGGAACGGAAAAGCGCCGCGAAGGCTGCTCGACGTCGCTCGATGCACGAGGCAGTCATGCCCTCATCGTGCCCCATGCCTGGGAAGGACGGCGGCCGCCCTTGGTCGGTGGTGGGGATTGCTTGCCCGAGGGCTGGGAGGAAGCACCGCGCATGGCGCCTGAGATGTCCAGGAGGACACTAGAGTGGCGCCTGCCCTTGCTGATGTGGAAGGCGTTGGCAGTGGGGGAAGCGGGGACGGAGAATGCAGCGTAGGAAGACATTGCTGTTGTTGATAGTAATTGGGTTAAGCGGGATGTTGCGCGAGGGTGTTGTGCAAGAAGGTTGGAGCGGATAACAGTTGCTCGAAGTGAGGTGTTGGGCACAAGAGTTGCTGAGGTGCGAAGGCTGGAGGTGTTGCTGAGGGGAAGAGTAGGTTATTGTGCGTCATTATATAGACAAATTTCGTGTAGATTTGATTGACAAGAGAAAGAAGATGTCATGGACAGGAAGGAAGGAGCTTGTCACCCATCTCACTGGTGGGGAAAGGGGCTCGTACCGAGCTTCTCTTGATGAAAGCGGTGCGGCATCCGGCCCCTGTACATTGGATCGGGCCTTGTTGCCATGTGTCCGCACATTCTATTCGCACATTGTATTTGATTCGGCCAGGGTTCTTTGCTTCTTGGCATGTACTGAGGTGAACCCTTTGTCCGTACATGATCAGTCCTTTTGTTCTTGTCACCCTCTTTCTGGGAACGTTCTTGGATCATGGAATTGTTGACATTTACTGTTGATTTGTTGCCATAGCAGCTTGGGTCCTGATGCGGAGCTTCGACAGATGGAGAGAACGCGCACGAAGGAAGCCGTCATATGCATGAAGCACGTTCAGGACAAAACAAGCCCAACGATACGCGTACATTGCTAGAAGTTACCGTATCCCCAAATCGATGATAAGCTATACAATTTTCACTGTCATATTAACCCCTAAACAGCCAGAAAGAAGTGAAAGGTGCTTGGAATCTCCTTCACATATGAATCTAAGCAATGCGAGAAGGTGTGAGGCGCTTCTCGAGCCAACGTGCCGGCGGGTATGTTATCGCAGTGAACCCCAGCGCCAACTCAAAGCCTATGTCCCCACCGAAAACGGGATCACCAACTGAAACAAGTTCAATCAGTCGTTTTCTATGTGTAAGGTAGAAGGAACTCACTCAGCCTCCCAAGTACGCCGACATACCACACGGTCGCCATACCCAACACAGCACCAGCAATTCCACAGCAGAGCGCGAACAGCGCGGCTAGACCAAGGGGAAGCAGGCGAGTGTTGTTGTACTCATTGGGCATGTAATTTGTCCACTTGCCACCGCGGAAAATGAAGTGTTCCTCGATCAGGATTGTTGAGTAGATGGCGAGCCAGTACGAAAGAAGCACAAGCAGGGTATCGAGCCAATCCTCGAAATGAGACGCGCCTACAATAGCGAGGACGATGTAGACTGCAGTACCGACAAGAACGAGGAAGAAACGTGGGATCATCTGAACCCAGCGGCCGAGCACCTGGGCGGTGAGGGCCAAGCTGTACATATTCGGGATGTTGTTCCCCACGATGGAAAGAGCGAGGAGGACCAGCAGGAACTGGCCGAAGCCTTTTGCGGGGCTAAGGCCTGCACCGATCAGACCCCCAATACCACCATCCGCAAATGCAGCCTGGTATTCGTCGGGGGTGACCGTGGTCATGGCAGCTCCAAGGGTCTCGATCAGGACGAGGGGCTAGAACACCTATCAGCTACGAGTTCGGCAAGCCCACACAACGCGACTCACGATATTCAGGCCGGCATAGGTGAGGCAGAAGATCTTCCACGACGGGGTTTTCTCAGGCATGCTGACGGTGTAATCAGCGGCGAGACTGGACCAGCCAAGACCGAATCCAACGATGGCTGCACCGAACGACAGGATATTACCTTCCTCGAGCGAGCCAGTGCCACCATATGGGCCCGATACCATGTACTTGGCAGAGAGGCCGAGAAGGATAATGAAGATGACCTAAAGCCGAATCAGCTTATCGCTCGCACACACTCAGATTGGTACATACAGCGACTGGGTACCAGGAATAGCGCTCATAGGCGTGAACAACCTTGTAGCCGAAAAGCGATACGATGGTTGTCAGAACTGCAATGATGACGATAGCGGCAGCAACCGGAATGTTGTGATCCGAGTCCGGGCTGACGGCGCGAAGAACTGAAGCACCGACGATCGAGTTAATTGTCGACCACCCAACACAAGCGATCAAGTTCAAAACAACTGGTACAAGGGAGGTGTAGTAGCCGAAGCTGAAGCGCCCGATAGTCATTTGACGCAGACCAAGCTTGCAGCCCCAGGTGGAGAAGTAGGCGACTGGAAGGGTGGAGAGGAGGTTGAAGAAGAGAATACACAGAAAGCACTCTCTCAAACTGAGGTAGAAGATGGAGGTACCCAGCGTTCCCAAAGAAAACGTTGAGATCTAAACCCTGCATCAGATGTGGACCCCTTCAACCAAATCTCAGCGCACATTGCAATTCGCAGCCATCCACATTGTGCAAGCATCCCAGGCACTCTGCGTGGGATTCCGCTCCTCCGGCTTTACGCGCTCAATACCACGGACCTCAACACCATACCGGTCAAACTTTTCTACCATCGCCCAAAGCTGGTATACCGGTCAACATGGTTACTGGCTTGATTACAAGGTATATACGGACAGCAGCGAGGGGTCCGGTGGTAGGCCGGATCTCCTGGATCGTATCGGGGACATGTTGAGGGTAGTAATCCTTCTGTGACTTTTCGAGGTCCTTCTCACGGATCTCGGATGTGGGGGAGGAGGACATCTTGGATGTTGATCACAGTCGTTGTCAGATCGTTGCAGTGGGTGGTCGTGTGCGTGCCTTCAAGAGGCTTTGGCCAAAAGCAGAAGGGGCGGACCAGGGGCAAAGAAGGAAAGGAGAAGCGTATGTAACCGGTGAGCATTATGTACTCTCTCCCAGGGGACTGTCTGATGTAGCCCTCGCTAGTGTGGTCCGGTCTATCTTGAGCATGGGTTGGGGTCGAGGATAGAACAAGCGCACCACACACCATGCGCTCATCACCCCTCACCCGCGATAAGCCACGCGCATGTCACTCCCGTTGATACGCATTCCAATTAATCCACACTTGCGCACAGGTAATATCAGCGTAATTCACGTACTCTGATCATGTCGCCCAAAAATTCAAGAGCCTGCTACATACGCCTCGGTGAACTCTCATCTTCCGGCTACTCCCATTTATTCAGCACGATCCAAAGTTCTTGTCAGCATTTCCAGTCGCCCGACCTCCCGACGTTGCACATGCTGCCCGCGACTCCCAGGTCCGCCCGATAAGCATCTTTGTGTAAACTCGATTCTATACAAACATTTTTGCCTCCGGAGAAGATTTTGACATGAAGGATCCCGTCAGCACCCGGACATGTTCGATAACGTGTGGCTCCTGCCAAGCAAACCTGATGAGCGCCTTTATCTTTGGCTGCCTCGACTTTTCCTGCTTCCCTTTCTTGACATTGCGGGGTTCAAGGGACTATCAGTGCTCCTTCCTCCCCTTCCTCCGCTTTTTCCAGCAAGATATCATCAATTTCACCAATTTGAGCGTGATCTGGACTGTCCAGCCTCATCGAACGTGCCTCATTGTCAAGTCCCGGTGACGCGTCTTATTGGAGCGCACACCAGATTATCCCGTATCCGAAGTGACGGACTTTGACATCATACGGGGCGCATCTACCCACAAACTTCCGACCGGAGACCGGTCCACTTGCTTTCAGGGATGAGGCGACCACAACCACACGCTCGCCGCAGAGTATCACTGACACCGTAACGATAAGCTGATCGGGTTGTGGTTAGTAGAACCCTTCAATCGGCGTCTGCGGGCCAATCAAAATTTGCGATAGCGAGAGCGAGTCCTGGCGCCTCACGAGTGTTCGGTGTTCCCCGTTGGTTGATGACATGCCCATGGAGAAAGAGCACCGCGAGGGCAAGAATTCAGTAAACCTCCCATCAGAGTTTTGGTGGTCGTGCGCCTCTTTAGCTCGAATGTAGGGTCTACCGGTGAACAGTGTGACGACCATAGACTTCCAGTTGCTTGAAGCTTTGTTCCCCTTAGAACTAGTCTGCACTTGTGATTCTCTGACAGCCATGCATCCACCCACAACACCGTTTGAGCCAACGCCTCCGGTTTCAATCGCGCTCAAGTCAGACATTGAGAACCTGAAGCATGCTATAGAGCAAGCCAAGCTTGGAGCTAGCGAAGGAGGCGTGTCGATCGGTGGTGCTGTGGTGCGCAAGTCTCAGCGCTGTTGGAGATGGAGTTATTGAGATTGGGGGTGCGTGATCAGGTAGACAAGGATGGAAATGTACTCGGTGTGGGGAGGAACAAACGTGTGCAGGAGAAGAGCGCTATCTTACATGGGGAGGTGCGCAACAGTCCCCATTCCGAGAGACTCCATCTCATAGTATCGGTCTAGACAGATTGCTTGAACAACATCGGGGTATGCTATCCGACAGTATGACATTATTCCGGTTGCTGATACAGGCACATGTAGCGACTCCACGCTTCCAAATACGTAGGCGCAACGATGTACACGACGCTTAGTCCGTGCACGATGTGCAGTGGTGCTGTCGTACTGTTTGGCATCAGCAGAGTGGTCATGGGCGAAAACAGTACATTTGTGGGTGGTGAGGACTTTTTGAAGTCAAGAGGAGTTGAAGTTGTAAATCTCGGTACGTTTATCATGTTGTCTTCGTTGCAGAACTGACTTATTTGCGCAGACCTGGATGAATGCAAGCAATTAAAGAAGAATTTCATCGACAAATATCCTGAAATCTGGAATGAAGATATCGGAGAGGAATAATACGAGTAATAATGGGGCTTTGCTTTGAGGAGCTTGCAACAATAAAGGAAGGGTTGAATGGGATACGAACAGAAAAAGCAACCGCTTTTGGCCATGCACTTAGGGTATTGACAGTGTACTTGATGGACAAATACTAGAACTTCAAAATGCTTCTGTGCAGTAAACTGCGCGGTTCCAGCTGAAAACAAGCTTGAAGTTCGCAGGCCAACATTAGGATCGTAATTGGTGGCCGTGTGCAGCCTCAGTTCCCAATACTCGTAGATAGTCTTGATATTGATGCAGAAGTGACTGCCTTCATGCTACAATGTGAAGCTGCGCAAGGGGAGATCTACCGTTTCGGAAGGCGTTGATCGGTATGAATTGAATTACAATGCTAGAGACACTATATGACCTGAAAGATAATTAGGGTGAAATTCGTCTAGCCGCACTGTTCTGCATACCTTAGGCGCTAATGATGCGATTTTCCCCCATCCTCTTCTGCGCAGGTCCGCACTAACAACCCCTCCTATTCGTGTTCCAATCATCTCTCCCTTCTTGTCAATCAACACCGCCGCATTGTCATCAAAGCGCACAATGCTCCCGTCAGGCCTCACTTCCTCCTTCTTTGTACGAACAACAACGGCTCTTCTGACCTCACCCTTGCGGACTTTTGGTGCTTGAATCGACGCAGTTTGAGGACCAGCTGGACCAGTGATAATCGGTATAGGTCGAGCACGTTGAACGACGCAAACGACGGTGTCGCCAACACGAGCATGGCCGTGTCTGGTCTTGAATTTGAGGACGTGGACACACTCGGCGAGGACGGCACCGGAGTTGTCAATGATCTGCGATACAGCAACTGAATAACCGCAACACTTCCATATTATTACAACTCACATTCATCATCGCTTTGAGGCCAATCATATTGATGCACTAGTGTTTTCTAGATAAGAAAGCAACTGCAGGCCTCCGGCCTCTCGACAGAACCCTGATACGAGGCGCCTTCTGCATCGCCACTAAGGAAAAATATCTACCGACCGCCAGCGCAAAATCCTTAAGCTCCATCTTGCAGTACAACAAGCATATATAATCTTAACTCATTCTGACAAATACAAACACATCAAGTCGCAACATCTAACCTTGCGCGTATTATGGCCTGTTGAGGGCACTGACAACGGTTGAAGGCTGCCTCGCGGATACCAAGCTTACCTATTCAAGACTACCATCTAGGCGGAGATACCCCTCTCATACTGGGCAAGCATTGGCGTGACCTCCTTCAATTCCTCTTCAATGGTGCGCGTATATGCGTCTCCACGAGGAGTGATACTGCACTTGAATGGCTCTGGAGCTGTGATATGGCCCGCTGTATAGACTTGAATATTCTTGTGTGGTTACGGGAACGTGGAGAACTTACGGTGGAAATCATCATCACGCACAGGAATCGGTTTCCCAGTCTTGGTATCGATCTTCAGTCCGAAGTTGAATGCCCACAGCATCTTTGCTACCATGACTTTGATCGTATTCTCAGCAAAGTACAAGCCCAGGCAGATGCGACGACCGGCCCCGTAACCAAAGGTGTTGCGGAACGTGGCTGGATCCTCAGGAAGACCCTTCTTCAAACCATACTTGTGCTCCAGGAATCTCTCCGGCATGAACAGCTCAGGATCGTCGTGCATCGCAGGGTCATGGAGGACAGCCCATGTGTTCTCTAAGCTCTCTCTGTAAGCGTTCTGCTCCAGCTCATCGTGTGAAATACTACTTACGCACGAGGACCGTCCCGGCCGGAATCAGCATGCCGTTGTACATTTCGTCCTTGCTCGTCATATGAGGGACACCGGCTGGCAGGATCGGCCGCCACCGCATGACCTCCAGGACAAACGCCCGACAATAGGGCAAAGACTCGAGATCCTCAAACTTTGGCGACCTGTCGGATCCGACAACCGCATCAAGTTCAGCCTGCGCCTTGGAAACCTTCTCCGGATGCAGGACAGCAGCAAGAACAAACGTCAGGAGCACGCTGGAAGTCGTGTCGCTAAAAGATGGTTCAGCGCACACGGTTTGCGCCTGTGTATCGCTCCACATACGAGCCCGCCTCCATCATTCCACCTCCGACCCACGCTTTCATCATGTCATCGGATGCCTCGTTCCGCTGGATGACTGTATCCACAAATCAGAAACCGAAGAGCCACAAGCATACGAGAAGCTCGTACCGGATTCCATCCAGCAACCGTAGCTCTGACTTTTCTGGAGCCTCTCCTTGACCTCACCCAGGAGCATAGTGTGATACAGTTGCTGCATCTGTTGCCGAAGTTTGATAGCTTGGCCCTTCCATTCGGCAAAGGCCGCCGGGACATATTTCAGGATCGGGAACATGTCCAGAGGCGGCGCGGCGCCGACTTCCAGGAAACTACAAGAACCATAAGCGTGCACGGACTCTCGTTCAACATGCACTTACAAGTTGAACGCGTGGGCGACGTCTGCCAAGAACCCGTCAGCTAGCAATCATGGTCCGAGGCGATTAAGTTTACGGTAGAAATGCTCAACAGAGAAGCCTATCGCATCCTTGCCCGAAAAGGTAGGTGCACGCTTCCCGAAGGCAATAGTTAATGCCAGTGAACAGGAAATTCGGCGCAACTCTTCATAGAAGTTCTCAGGGTCATGCAAGATGTTTCGCACTGTCGAGGTAAATAATTATTTGGCGAGTCATGCGATAGGACTCACTTGTCACAACAGATTCAGCGTTCTGCAAAGGAAGGTAATCCGGAACACGCCGTTGAGCCAGCGCTGTATTGTATATCTTGCGCATGAGGACGCTACGAGACGCGCCGACGAGTAGTGGATGATTGTTGGCGCTGATGAACTGGGATAGAGTTCATCAGTAAGGATTACCTATGTTGGAACGTGCCTCACTAACCTCGCTATTGATGTAGGATGGTGCGCGGTCAGACGACGATCCACTGCGTTTGTCCATGAGCTCCATAACGCTTCCTGCATCGTTGAGGACGACCATGGTAGAGCCGAACAACTTGCAAGAGATCACTGGTCCGTATTGCTTGCTCCATTCCGTGAACTTCAAGTGTGCATAGCCTGTGTAGGTGTTATGAAGACACTCTGAAGACCAACGATCGGCTTACGTGGAGGAATATCGAAGAGATTGCCGACGACCGGTCGAGTGGGAGGGCCAGGGGGAAGAACCTTGTCTCTCTTACCAGTCTGTGAGAGACGATAGGCGCCGACTAGGGCGACCACGACAATGGCCGCATATATGACGGTGGAGATAAGAGACATGGTGGTGGCAACTACGAGGGCCAACAATGGAAAGATGGGACCTTTATACGATCCCCCCTTTCCTAGAGGTCACATCGCTGGCTCCAAGAGCTTAGCAGATGGACGGAGAACAGGCCCGATGTCAGGGAGCACTTGCGTGCGATTGACCCAACATGGTCATCGAGCCATGAAGATGGCATGCTCTTTCCTTCCGGGGAACCGCTCCCACACGGTAGGCATCTTATCTACACCGGGTAACCACCGATCTCACGCATCGGAGCGAAGGAGAATGACAGGCGTCTATGTCCGCGATGAAGAATCGCATAAGCCCTGCCTGGTTTAGACTTCCGAACGAGGACTGTGATGATGACCGGGGTGCCGACGGCGAGTTTCGCGAAGCTGCTACCCGGAAAATTACCTTGCACTGGCTTCGTCCATCTGCTAGTCCCGCGCCGGGCCGTGGTGGGAATATAAGCTGCGACTGCTGGGTATCATATCAACCGGGGTGGTTCACCCGTGGAACGTTTGTAAAAGCTGAGACCATCATATTTGCCGCGGAACACGAGTGCTGCCAGCGAATTGTGGCCTCCTGAACCGTCTGAGCCAGCAACGTACACAAGCCCGAAGAACCCAACTCCATTACGTGCTACCAACTCAGCCTGAGTAAATTCTGCCCATCGCAGGACAGTGTAAGAGCTCGGATGCGTCAGATTGTTCAAATAAGGCATTGCTGGCATGAAGGGTAAAGAAGGAGACGCCATGTTCTCCATCATCAGGGATCGGCAGTCCAGCGCAGAAGAACAAAGAGTATAACTGGATTCTTCAATATCATGACACCGCCTCCTCCACTCCGAATCTGGACCCCGACCCTCCGAGGTGATAAAGAGCGCAAAAAAACTTGAGCGGGCGGCCGTGCTTCCGCGGCCGTGCTTCCCCGGATGCCTGATGTCGGCAAGACCACGAATAAAGTTTCCAGTAGTTGTAGCGTCTTGGGAGCCTTGCAATTTCATCCTTGTAGCTCCCACTGAGCTAGCGGGGCGCGAAGGGAACGTTGGGATCGGCGGTACTTGTGATGGGTTTTCCAGGAGCGCCCTGTGGAGCGATATAAATGGATATATGTCTTACGGGAGAAGTCCGAAGAACCCATTGACTTTGCTTCGGCGTAGAGTATACTGCCTTCCTGATTTGTTCCACATGCTGTATGAGGGAAGAGCCCATCAACGCAGCGTGGCCTTGGCCGGACATATCCATATTGATAAGCAAGTTATGATGGAAAAAGTCGCCGTTGAGAGCTTCATAAACAGCCCAAGTTCGAGTGATCGCGCTGGTATGGCGGTGCAGAAGTGATCACAGACTGATGATGTACAGGAGCGACAGGCGGGATGACGCATAAGTAACCACATATTGCAATCGCAGGCCGTAAGCGACTGTTGTAGTCCATGAGCGGCCAGTGTTCAACCTGTAAAAAGTGCCATACACAGAAGTCGGATGGAATGGGCGTTTCAACTATAGATAGCAGTGCAACTGGCGGCTCTTAACCTAAATTTGTATTGCAAACACCAGGAACATGGGTCTTCTTTTCCGGAACATGGCGTGACCAGATAATCGATGGCTCGTCGTGCCTGCATCGGATCCCCTCTGGCGTACTTGAGGTATGTACCAGCCAGTCCAAAGCTGCCATAGAGATCGAGCTTTGAACTAGAAGCGGATTCCAGGTGGGAGCGCTGCAGACCAATGAACCACATGACGCAATCGCTGTAATATTCGCTGGTAGGAAATGCGCCGAAAGTTGAAGATTACGTAGGTTGATCTTCACATCCGGCCTCCGGAGATCAAGGACAAGTCAATATAGACCGAGTATAGACCGTATATATGTTTCGAATGCAATGGTAGAAAAAGCCAGAGTTTTTTTTACTATCCGGTTCCGGTGATTGACGCGCTTGTCATTGGACCCGCGCGTCGCGTGTCGCGAACCCTTGGTTTGGCCATCTGTCCATCTGCTGCCAATTCCCTTGCTCCCTCGTCCGCCGTCTTTTGTAACTCTCTTTCTCTCCACCATCTTTGTTCACGAACTCTCTAAACTATTACCGTTCCTCTGAGCTAGCTCATTCTTCAATATGAGAGTTCGAACACTTGAGATTCGGTGGCACAACACAGATTCGTCACCATCAGCCCCCATCTACTCTGCCGACTTTCAACCTCTTCCTCAGCCACAGCTTCGGAAGCTTGTTGCGGCACGGACGCACGCCTCTTCGTCGTCTTCTGCATCCCAGTCTAATGTTGTTTCTGCGTTTGATGTGAAGACGGCTGCTCAAAGCTGCGTGGGTGCACAATATAGGCTCGCGACTGGCGGAGGTGACAACAATGTCCGTGTGTGGCTGGTCTACCCGAACTATCTCCCGACTGTGCTTGGAGGAGGTACGAGCGGTGCAACTCCCCACCCTCCGAGAGTGGAGTATCTAGCGACTCTCAGTCGACATACAGGAGCGGTGAACGTTGTGAGATTTTCGCCGAATGGTGTGTACACCAAATTTCATCTTTCCATCATCCCCATCAACTGACTTGATTCTCAGGAGAACTCATCGCTTCGGCTGGTGACGATGGGTGTATTCTTATTTGGGCTCCAACTGAGCGAGCTGTTCCACAATTTGGATCTGATGTGACCCAAGAGCAGCAGTACGAAAAAGAGCACTGGAGAGTGCGCACCTCTATTCTGTAGGTTCAAATGTACCTCTGTCACAACTTTGCCTGACGCGGCAGAATAGCGCGTCCCAACGCGAGATATACGATCTCGTTTGGTCACCGTCCGGCGAATACATATTGGCCGGCTCGACGGACAACGTGGCCCGCATTTTCAATGTCTCGTCCGGATCATGTATCAAGGAATTGGTCGAGCATTCTCACTATGTGCAAGGCGTGGCTTGGGACCCCTTAAACGAATACATCGCAACACAGAGCAGCGACCGGACTGTTCATGTGCATAGCGTTAGCGTGCGGAGAGAGAATGATGGGAGGGAGACGATTGAAACTCAAGCTGTTGGGAGGAACTTCAAGGCACCCGTCAGGCATCATCACCGCGCCCTGTCAAGCGCAAGCCAGCGAAGCCAATCACCACGACCGCCATTACATCGCCAAGGGTCCGAGTCTGCTCTTTCTATCAACAGCGCAGTCGAACCGACTCAGACACCAGCATCCGTGCCATCAACACCGTCGCTGATGTATCCACCGCTTGACAGACCCTCGTCACGGCGGTCATCCTTCACATCGATGTCCAACGCATCCCCCCCTCCTTCTTCTGCTCTCCTATCCCACAACCGTCGCACCTCCGGCACGTCCCGTGCTCGTTCTCCTTCCCCGATGCCACCCTTGCCGGCAATCCGTGCTGCACCATCGCCAGCATCGTGGACATCGCTCAAACTGTATGGCGACGAGCAGTTCACCAACTTTTTCCGACGTCTTACGTTCTCACCGGACGGGGCACTGCTGCTTACTCCAGCGGGACAGTTTGAAGATCCGACATTCTCACTAGCTTCCCGGCCACCATCTTCCGCTTCCTCCGACGGAAGGTCCAGATCGGAAGAGCGGAAGACAGCCAGCTCGGTGTACATCTACTCGCGAGCTAACTTTGCACGTCCGCCTGTCGCACACCTGCCTGGGTACAAAACAGCAAGTGTCGTTGTCAAGTTCTCGCCGTTATTGTACGAGCTGCGTTCCGGTATCCGGGAGGCAGCCGACACCCCGATGGTTATCCTCAAGAAAGGAGAAGAACAAACTTTACCAATTTCTTTGGGAGCACCGACAAGCGCTGACGAAGACGCGTCGACAAACATGCCTTCTCCAACTAAGGTATCTCCCACGACTGGAGAGGATAGAGCGAGTGTTTGGAAATTGCCATATCGGATGATATTTGCAGTCGCAACTCAGGATACGGTCGTGCTTTACGATACACAACAAGCGGGTCCGCTGGCCATGTTTGCCAATCTGCATTACGCTAGCTTTACCGATATTGCCTGGTACGTCCAGTATTCATGCTACTGACATTACCATGCGATCTCATCGTTACTATAGGGCACCTGACGGGCAATCACTCATCATGTCGTCCTCCGACGGATACTGTTCCATTGCTGTATTCGACGACCCGCTCCCTCTGTATGAACGACAACAGCATCATGTACAGATGGCGGCCATTGCTGAGCATCATTCAGTCCCTATGCTCAATCCAACGCTGGGGACCCACAGCAAGGTCGCTCTTCCGTGGCCCGGCCCGCCGACGGAAAGCAGCTCATTAGGTAAGAGAGAATCGTCAAGCAATGGGGAAGAGCAGCGAGGCCGGGAGAACAGTGGTCCAGTGAAAAAGAAGCGTCGAGTGGAATTGAAGCACATCGGGAGTTTAGATAGCGCCTAAAATAATGCAGGCCTTTGATGGCTGTTGTCGTGCAATGACTTTTGTACTATCCACCGTGATGTGAGAATGAGTGGCACAAGCCCTCCACGATTCATTGACCCTCATAATGGCAGGGACATAACGATAAATTTAATGCCAAAAGCACTGCTGATAGTATTTACACATAGCTATTATGCGAGAAGGAAGAATGCTATGATGCAAGGATTGTGCATACGTAATTGTAACGAAGACAAGCTGGGAGAAGAGAGAATCGAATAAGAGAATCAACCTCACTGTGTGCAAAACAACACCACGAACACCATTGGATGGCATTTACCCCGCAAAGCCTCTCATGTCTGCACTGTCCCCCTTCCTCTAGACTTTGCAGGAACAGGCAAACACTCAGCCTCCACAGGTACCCCAAACTCTGCAACACTGATCGTCGGCGGTGTGGTATACTTGTATTTGTGGCTTCGGTCAGGAATGGCAGGCGGTTTTCGTTTCTTCAATGGCGGGGTTGATGGCGCGGAGCCCCCACGTATACGGTCATGTGGAACTGGGAGAGCCGAGGCCTTGCGTACTGGATGCTCATGCCGCAGCTTGGCAGGGAGGTGAGGCACCGGCGGGTGATGTCGTGTGAACTCGGGGGTCACGACAGGCGGGATGGAAGGGTCTGACAAAGAACGGCTAGCGCGGCGAGGTCGTGTCTTCGGGCTCGTGGTGACGGGTGATGCAGCTGCAACGGCATTGACGGATGTCGTGCTTTTATTGTCATTCTTTGGTAGATGGAGGGAGGCGAGGGAGGGCACAAGCGAGTCAACAGCGGCCCCAGCCCTATGAGCGGACACCGGGGAGGCAGGGGAGGAGCCTGACCCGGTACTGGAGATAGAGCGCGAATCTTCTTCTGGCCCATGGTTACCAGCCCAAGGGGCAGAGAGACAGCGTTCAACCAAGCGTTTTGTGGTAGGGTTAATGACTCTTATGTGAGCATTTGCGAGGTGAGCTTGAAGGATGCGGCGGATTTCTAGACGCTTGTAAGGGACAAGTCGGAGTTGGGTATTGGTTAGAAGCGGATCAAGAACACGAAGATACGTATGACGTAACTGCAAAGGGGACATGCCAATTAGTGTTGATCACGAGAGGCATTGACGCCACTCACGGATTCACTCTCCTCCGGTAGGTCATTCAGCTCTCGGATAAACACGTCCACAAGGACACACAAGTCATTCGTGTAGAAGTATTCCTGTGTCCCTCGTGTTGTGAACAGTAGGTACAGCATCTTCAGAATCAAGAGCTGCATGCACAACGCTTCCGCACTTCCGTCCGCCCGATTGAGCATGAAGATCATGTTCTCGCCGAAAGTCTTCGTTGAGCCTAAGCGGCGGACTAGTACCTCGAGAACTCGATTTTGCGGGACTTTGGTACTGCCTGTGTCAGGTATGTGGAGGGAATTAGCCGAATTTGGGGGGCTAGGCTGACCTTGCGGATCATGGAGATGGTGATGATGATGCTGCGGATTAGGGATGGAGGCGACCATGAACTGCTCGTTCAGGGCAACCTGAAACAAACGATGAGCACACGGTGCAACATTACTAACAGTCCACTTACGATGAGTTTGATTAACGAGTAGTTGAGGTCTTCATCAGGAAATGTACGTGTATGCTCGATCAGGTCAAACAGATGATCAATGAATGCGTTGTCAAACATTCCTGCAAACCTATTAGCCTGGAAACAGATGACAGAATGGAAGTCGTCCACGCACTCAAATCATTCAACCCCATCTTTTGAACTCTGCAGACCTCGTACAAAACCTTCACGCTCAGTACCCTCATCCTTTCTTCCACCCAGCCCCCAGCACTTGTGAACGGCACAACCACGTCACAGTCGACGAGCAGGTGGTCCATGAGCAGAGGGATGAGGGTTTGCCATTTACTGACAGAGCGAAAGAAAGATGGATGTGTTCGGCCATGGTGAAGGAGGATGTGGAAGAGGATAAGCTGAGTATGTGGGTTGGTGCACTGAGACTATATCAGCACCACATCCGAAAAACAAGAATATTCAGGCATACCGTTCGAGCCTCGCTTAGTACTCGCTCGCTCTCCCGCTCAGAATGGAACGCGAACAGCTCACTGCTTAAGAGCATCCGAACCGCTTGGTCCATCTGCATCTTCGTGGGAAGATACTCCTCTGAGCAAGTTTGTGTCAGGATTGCAGGCAAGAAGTACCATGAGGGACTCACGATGGTAAGACGAGCATATTGATACGAATGTCTCCAATGCAGAGTCAAGTTGATCGAGTGTTGCATCCGGCTGTAACTTCAAGCAATCCTCCAGCTCTGCACCGAATTCACATCTCATCAGCACTCGTTTCGTTGTCAATGAAGTGCGACCTGACTCACCTGACCAGAACTGGGCCGCATTCCGGATATGGTACACGACGAAGTCCATAGGTCGTCAACGCTGCGTGAAGGCAGCAAGCGCGGGTGACTCGTGCGACCGCTCCAGCGAGTACAATGCAAGTTATTCTAGACGTTCGTGATGTATACCGCCTTAATCAATGTGTGTGGGTTCAGGCGCAGATATGCAATGCCGATGTTGTTGATGCGGTCGTATAAGAGTAAAGAGGCAGAAATGCTTGTGGGTATCGGTCGTGAAAGGCAGTGATGTATTTTGCCCTAATGTGCTAGGAGAGGTGGAGGAAAGAGCCTTCCAGTTGACCGTGTGAGCGCGGCTGTAAAGTGAAGCGCATGGCAAATTAACATACGGCCGGAACCTAATCGTACCACTCTTCTCATCACCATGATCATCCCGGTCTGTCATTGTTGCGCCCATCCTTCTCATCTTGTCTTTATAAATCCACACGTCCTTATCAATAAATTACTCTCACAATGAGGTCATCGAATATCATGATAAGTTTGCTTATTACGTGGGTTCGCTAACCGCCGTGCATTCGTACGATGTCCGTGATTAATAGATTCCCCTATTTTACGTAACTGTATCTCTCCTCGGGTTTGCCGAGCCATCCAACACAGCACTTGCCGTATTCCGAAGCTCGAGGCAACAGCGTGTCTCTCACCCTCGAACATCTTCCGGTGAGTAACACAGCCGTTGGACTTGGTCGAGTTTAGATCACAACAGGTTGCTCATGCAAAAACAAGGGCGTGCAATGGTCCTTGTGCGCTCCACTGCCCAGAGTAATCATTCCCTACTAAACGCGTGCCCAAACGATTTGTGTTCATGTACGCGAATCATCTGGAATGTTTTGGATGATTCCACACTGATACTCTAGAGCCCTCATATCTAGCAATTTGGAATGAAGACAATATGACTGTACGTTTCGAAGTCTGTGTTTTTCTTTTTTGAGAACCTTGGAACAGACTGTCAGTGTGCCTTCAGAACCGGACGAGGGGACTAACGTACGGATACATATCAAGGGAACAAGGTTAAGAGAAGCCAATCAAACCGGCTGTGCCTTGATCAGCACCTATGTCTTCCGACGGAGACGAAGGATACATTGACTGCTCAGTTGAATAATTGGCCAGCAGGAAGACAATATTCCTCTTGGAAATGGACGCACTGAGGGTACCGTTTTGTTCCTTCCAGCATGTTATTTCATGGATAAAAACCTGACAAATCGTCTCCTTCCGCTTTTCCGTGCCGTCTAGGCCCGTCCGCCGTACCGCCAGAGCACAGATCTTGCTGGAATCTTCCAAGAGGCAGCTTCTAGACTTCTTGTGTCAGAAACTGAGTTCCAAACGGAGGGGAAAAGGTGAAAGATACAAAAGTCGCTTGGGCAAACTTCCGTTGTGCTCGCCGCTCCCCCTTTATTGTCTCCTTGTCCAACGTCTACGTTCCACGCACTCGGCATGAGCCAACCGAATTGGATACCACCTCAAGGTATGGGACAATTGTTGCCCTATTTATGTTTTTTGCCAGCCTCGCCAACATCATTCATCACCTCGATGCCGGTAGGAGGGACGCCTGGACTGCCGGCCAGCGCACCACAAGGCGCCCAGTACCCAGTTTTGGTATTACCACTCTTTGCTGCATACTCTCATGGGTGGAATGTCCAGCCACAAGCAGCGGCACCAGTGGTGGTACCAGCAGAACAACCTTACACTGGCCAGGAGCAGGCGCACACCCCCGAGACATCTGTCAAGCTGAGAAGCAACGCCTGCCAGAGATGGTGAGCCAGCGCCTCTTTGCTACTTGCCTCTCTAATAGGTGTTTTCTAAGCTACAAGGCACATCACAGGTGTGGTCGAAAGTTGCCAGTATGTGGAAAATTCGCTCAGTCTCGGAGCCCGTGCGACGACCCAAAGCCTTCAGAAGACCGGAAGCAGCTTCAGAGGGTGGAAAGAAAGCACACCTCTACCAGGTATTGCTCTCTTGTTTACGATGGTGAGATTCCGTTGAAAACGCAATAGTGATTCCGTCGCAAGTGCGCTGAAACAGCCTATGAATGAATCAGATCGTGGCAACAGTGAAAATGTTTGTGGACCGGACTCCGAGAGCGAGATTCCGGTTGAGATGAGAGACTTCGAGCGCGAAACACTCGAAGTGCGCATAACCTCACTCTGATATTATATCCGCATGCTAACTTAGGTCTTCTAACAAAGCATGAAAGCCCTGGCGAAGACATTAACCGCGAAGACCTTCAAGTTCCTCAAATCAATATATGCGATGTTTCGATGTCCGATGAATGGGCCAAGACTCAGCAAGAGGAGACCCCCGGCAACATACCGGCCGCTACTGGCGCAGCACTATCAGCGCTGTGCGAAGTCATTGGCATTAGCAGCGAGGATGCTACGGAACCTCCCTGCCATTGATAGGACAAATTCGCTGTGCCCGGAGGCAAGCTTTGGTGAACTTACTTCCATATATTGTGTGTTCGTCTTGGTGCAAAGGCCGACCCTCTGCCCTGATTACTTTCCTAGACACTAAATTTTCCACCTCTAAAATAACACCAGCAAACTTAGGCAAGAGTTCTGTCCCGGCCGACCCAGCTTCAAAAACCCGGTGTTTGAACCTGTCCTGCAGGCCAATGTCACCCTTTCTACAATCGTTCGTTCGATTCCACTGATAAATCACACAGACACAGTATGGTACTAATTTGCTTCCATATATTGCACCCAACTTGTAAATAGGTACTCATGACGGTTTCCGTTGCACGCTTTCCGATAATGTCTGTCAGGCTACTGCCACTCCTGTGTATGCCAGTTGAGAACAAAACGGCTCTCCATTCAGCCACCTCCATATAATACACCGTCATTTCACCACGAAGCTCAAGGAGCTGCATTACCTGGTTGGTAGGGAACACTCATTCTTTGAGGAACGAGGTGATAGCGCCTGCGACCTGTTCTGCGTGAGTGAGAGGGATCAGGTGGCCGCCCTTCTCGATAGGAATTAGCTTGGAGTTCACAGCCAAGCGGTTGATCTCCTGGGAGAGGCGGAAGGGACAAAGGTCGTCTTCGGTTCCCTAATCAAGACGTATATGAGCAAACCTTACTGGGTAGAAAGGGTGGAACAACTTACGCAGATGATCAGTGTTTTCCGGGAGGAAAGCTGGACAAAGGACTCCTTCTGATTGCACAAGGGTCCGTAGATCAATGTTGACATTATCGCCTTGACATACCCGGGCAAAGCGATGAGTTGCAGTTTTCTCATCTATAGAACTGGGTCAGCATAGGAAGAATGAGACTACAAAGATGCGTACCTGTAGACGGGTTGCAAGTCCATCTGGTGTGGGTGGCAGACTGGGAGAGGAACGAGGTCCGATCAATAGGTTAGCCACGAACTGATGGTATGTAAGTTCAACCATGAGTAGAAATTGTACATGAGACTCACACGGAAGGCAGAAGTGGAGATAATAGAAGAGAAAAGACGCGATGTCAAGAGTCTGGTAACCGGGGTAAATTCACTGGGCTACGACTTCCATCATCATCGTGTTTCTCACTAGGAGGAGGGATTTACGCACCTTTTGCAATCCAGCAGAAGCAATGAGCACGACGTGGTCACCTGCCACATGCGGATAATGACTAGCAAACGCGGCAACAATTGCGCCCCCCTGCCATTGAGGTTAGCAAGCACGGGTCTTTTGGGCAAGTGTGTCTACCCACCATCGAATGACCGACAAGGGCGGGTTTCGTCCATCCGACCGCTTGAAGAACCAGAGCTAGCTGCGTGGTAAAGAGCGCAGCGTTGTATTCCATGTCGACGTAGTGGCTATGCCCACGACCATAGATATCTTTGCTCAGGAATCAGGAGTGAAATGTAACCCAGATATGGGGTGTACCATATATCAACACCCTAAAACCAGCACTGACAAGCTCTTTGACCATTTCCTTCATTCCGACGGCAGGCATTTGAAGTCCGTGGACGATGACGACCTTAACCATCTCAGCTTGACTCTGGAGCCGGATAGTGGCCAAGCGTACCTTCTGCCCATCCTCTGGCCCCATGATCCACACCCTCGTCCTCCCATACGGCAAGTTGACCCATTGTCCACCTTCGTAGAAGTTCTCCGGATAGATATGCAGGGCAAGGTCGACCGCCGTGCTCCTCGGAAGAGCAGATAGACCGGGGAGAGAACGCGGCAAGGGCTACGCAGCGTAGTGCGGTTTGAGTGCGTATGTCAATAGTGCCAGAGTAGAGAGTCCAAGCGCTAAAGCTGGGATGTGCTGCTTGTTCAGCGGAGGGAGGAATCTGGTGATTCGTTCCAGGTGGTCCATGTTGAGTGTGAAGCGCAGAGGAGTGATGACCAGACAACGAGAGAAGCGGACCCTATGATGTTGTGTTGTTACCCCGCAAAGCCGGGCCGAGATATCCTTGTTCGTCTGTGTGTTACACTTTCTGCTTTTCTCGCTGGTTCTGTTGGCATCGTGTCCTCGACCTGTGGATGGACAGTAGGAAAGAGGCGCTCAACGGCCCGAGCTCCGGACGTCATTGACGGCCAGGGCCCAAACTGGCCCTACCTCCGGTCATTCATTCCGACCAAGTGCCTGAATACCTTCCATCAGCCCAGGTCGTACCTCTTCCTACTTTCATTCAGCCCAAACGAGCTCATGTCCAAAGTCGCTATCGTGACCGGCTCTGAATCCGGTATTGGGAAAGCGACGGCACTCACCCTAGCCTCCAAAGGGTGGGACATCGGCGTCTGTTGGCACCGGAGCGAGTCCGACGCACAAGCGGTAGCAGAACATATCCGCGCACTTGGCCGAAGGGCTGAAGCTCAAAAGCTGGACTTGACCTACCCTGTCACCGCCGGGAATGTGGTGAATACGTTCGCACAACTGTTTGGACGGCTGGATGCGCTCGTGAACGTCGCTGGGATCAACTATGGCGGGGAGTTTACAAGCTACGAATTCGAGATGTATAGGCGGATCATGTCGATAAACGTGGACGGGCCGTTTGTGCTCATGCAACATGCTGCGAGGGTGATGATCACCCAGGGACGAGGAGGGGTTATCGTCAACGTGACCAGTGTGCACGAAACGTCGCCCCTTCCGGACCAAGCGGCGTACGTGGCGAGCAAGCACGCCCTCGGAGGGTTGACCACGACACTCGCTCTCGACCTAGCCAAGCACGGGATTCGCGTTTGCTCTGTTGCACCTGGGTATATCGCTACGCCCATGTCGCAATTAGACGGTGCGGATGTGAGCAAGATTGGCGTACCTCGGCTTCCCCTCGGAAGACCTGGAGATCCGAAGGAAGTTGGACAGGCGATCGCTTTCCTGTGCTCTGACGAAGCGAGTTACATCACGGGCGTGTCTATCCCTGTTGGTGAGTAGAGGAAGAGATGGGCAGTGAGAGTGCTGATTCGCTCGCAGATGGTGGGTTCTTGAAGGTCAATCCGCAGTTTGGTGGCCAGGGAGTGTTGGAAGGGATGACTGGTGCGGACGTCAAGTACACGTAGGGTGTATGCATACAGAGATGGGTGTTTCATTAATGGGTTAACAATGACTTTGATGTTGGGATTAATAGATCGATGTATCAATGATATTGTTGCAATCGCACTTTACGTACACTTTACGCCGATCACTTCCGTTTGTGGCAACAACCATCCCGATTTCGGAACCTTGATCGGCTCACAAGCACTTGGGCGTGTCTCACCCTCTTGAAGGTTCGGCGGTTCTGTACTATGCAATTCCGGCCTGGCAATGTCTTTGGCTAAATTCCCAAACTGGGCGATGTCGCAGAGGTTATATGGACGATCATGACACCGCCGACGGTTATAAGCACTGCGCTCAGGCTGCGTATATTCCCCGTCTTCTCTCTCTTCTTCTCTTATAACTTCCCCCCATCGTCCAAGGACACCCACACTCGTTAACAGAACATTCACACCACATTCACCAACATCACAACACCCCATACACTCGACAATGCTCGCTTTTGCCTTCCTCGCTCTGCTTATTGCTCTCCTCCCTTCTTTCCCTCTTACGGCGGCTCTTCCCATCCCCCAACTCGCTGACATCGGTGAGCAATATGCTGGCCTCGTGGAACCCAGCATGCTCAGTCTTCCGGATACTTTAGTAGGAATAGGCGGTGAGGTACCGTCTAGGCTCATCGGCTCAACCGTAGAGGGCGTTCTCGATGACTCCCTCTCCCCCTCGCTCAAGCAGACAACACGCTCCGAGATCGTTGCTCGCCTCCTTGCCGAAGCAGAAGGAGGCACCACACCCCAAGCTTCAGCCGCCGCCCGAGCTCTCACCCCGCGCGCGTCTCCCAACGTCCAGGTCACGGCTAACGCCAAACGTTCCACCCCTGAGTTAGTGCTCAACACCCCTGCTGTGGAGTGTGAGAAAGCACTGTCAGTGATCGACTTCGAGGTCGTTTGCGCGCCAGTGACGGTGCTCGATCCTGTGAGTGCGGCTGCCTTCCTCCAGAAGGGCGGTCTCGTCGAATAGTGAGTTCCGCCCTATTTCCTCAGAAGCACTGACATATATGCGCATACACTCTTAGTAAAGACGGTACACGCTATACCGACCCACTTTATTCTGCCTCTTCAGGCGAGGAGGGCTCCCCCCTTCGAACGATGATCACTGCCTATGCCCAGTTGCGACCCAAAGGCATCGAGAGGCGCGCTTGGCCGTTCTTCACTCGGTGGGCGATGCAGCGCGAGAGGGAGGGAAGCATGCTTTTGGCTTTGTCCCCCAAGTGAGTACCTTGATGGGTAGTGGTGCAGTGATTGATGCCCCTTTAGCACGGCGATTCGGATTGCAGATTTGAAGGAGATCGGGATTCATTTGCTCAATCAGGACCAGTTCGATCATGTGAAGGTGAGCACGCGGTAATGATATGCCGGGTGAGACTGATGCCCGCATACAGGTTGCTGGTGTCACGTTCGACTGGAGGACGATGCAAGCGATCGTTGACAACATCACTTTCTAGACGAAAGGACAGGATGCGCTCAGTAGAGATGCATCACGAGCAGGACATCAATACAGGACACTTCGCAGCTACAGCCCTCGGTGGGCACCACAGTCATTACGGATCACACCCACACTCGTTTCATTCGGGATTCTTATTCTGTGTTGTAGAAACAGACTTGTACAAATACATACAGCTTCTGGAGGACACTCGATGGGAAGGGGATAGGAGGAAGAGAGCGGTGTAAAACATGTGTACACAAGAACAATTTAACACTTGTTATCCATCAGTAATCTCGGAGTTGCGTGCAATGATTGTCCAAACCCGTCAATCAGAAGTCTTTCCTTCCAACTCTTCGTGTGTCTCAACCTTCCATTCCTGCACATACATCTCAATAGCCTCATGACTCGTCAAAAACGGGCCGATAGCGACACCCCCATACCTGTCCCCACTCACAAGCCCAACGTCAACCACGTCAATTTTCTTCCACTCCCCCTTATGCATAGCCCAGAACTCGTATCCGTCCTTAAACGTCTCCACTCTGAGCCTGGCAGGCAAGTCGATATCCAGCCTCCCGCTGACGGTACACTGGGGTCCGACGATCCTGACTCTCGCCTGACCCGTCCAGACCAGATTCCTGATGATCGCAAAATCCACATGTCGTTTCCAGTCCAGGTAAACCGTCACCCCACCCTCAAAAATCGGTCCGACGTCGTATGAGGGCCCGTTGCCCGGCCAGGCGAGGATGAAATGCCATGTGCTGCGCTGTCTGCGCTGGGGGAGGAGGATGAGGGATGGAGATTCGGCAGTGGGGAGCGGGATCTCGTCTGATCGGAGGATGAGGGAGGGGCCGATGCGGCGATAAGGGGAGGCAGGGGGAGGGGCACGGATCGTTAGTACTGAGAGGGGGAGGGAGGTGCTGGCTAGTGGGGGAAGGGCGAGGACGTCGGTTGTCGTCTGCGTGGGTGTGTTGACGGGGAGGGCTGGGCCCAGGGTGGGCCATTCGCCTGAGGGCCAGGTGAGAGGGAGGAGGTGCGCTTCTGGTCCTAAGGAGGACACTTCTGTGCCTTGTCGGGGTGAGGCGAAGAGCGCGAGCCACCCGGTTGGAGAGTGCACGAGCTCAGTGTGGCCTGTGGGACGTAACACGTTCGGAGGAGAGGGGAGAAGCGGACTGACACTGGAGTCGAAAGGTCCCCATGGCGTGGAAGAACGCATAAGAGCTGTGCCGAGGGTATTTGAGTCTTCCCCTAATAAGGAACAAGTTAATCGTGATCTCATATACAGTGGAAGGTCTACCTTCGGAGAAAAGCAGGTAATAGAATCCATCATTCCTGTACATATGTGGACCCTCGATGTATGTTCCCGACTCGGGTTTCCATCTTCGAGTGATTATCAGACAAGGGGAGGGGAGTCCACAGCTTCGCTTACAAAGTCTTAGGTGATCCCCTTGGTGAGTTGCCGGTCGCAAAGTCGATCTCCATCTGCTGGATTTCGGGTTTTGCCTACACGACGAGGTTAGTCATCGCCCTCTCTCCTCGCGCAGTAAAGACTGTACACGAGAACAGCTCAGGCCTTGAAGGTATGCTTTCCCGTTATCGTCGAAGAACAGGGAGGTATCATACCCCATAAAGTCGATTTGCAGAGGGTCGCTCCATTCATGTTTTGTCGGATCGGTACAAGTGAACAAGAACTGTTGCGCGGTTCAATCCCAGTGAAGAAATGGGGATGGATGGACATACATTCTGCCATCGAGAAGAGTCCGTTGGCTGTTTGTCCCCGTAGACTAGAGTAGCAGTGACGTAGAAGACGCCTCCATGATATCGTATCGTAGCGGCGCAGATACCACCGGGCCAAGGAGTGCCAGGTTTGAGATTGCAATCCTTCGTATCCAGCTGGGACGGACGAGTGCATACATACCCTAGGCAACTTGAGCGATCTCTAGGCAAAGGGCGAATCGCACTTACCAACATTTTTCCACTCGACGAGATCCACGGACGTGTACACCGGAATTGACGGAAAATAGAGCAGGGAGGCGGACACGAGGTAGTATGTCCCTGACACGCAGACACACGATGGATTTGGGTTAAGCCCGGGAACTGGGTTAGATTCCCGTCAATCGTCGGCCCCGAGAGGCTGCAAATTTCATGGGCGCACTTATAGGATTTCGTAGGGCATCCAGTGCCATCGAACGTTCCTTTCACCCTTGATCAGGACAAGGAATGGAAAGGCTCCGCGGGGAGGCGCTGCTGGAGAGGAAGACGAAAGGTAAGCGTACGGTGAAGCAGTCGGTGATTCAGTCATCCTCAGGCGGCCTTGACCGTGAGAACATATATTCTCGCAACTGCTTCCGACTGCGGTAGCTGAATGGATCGGGCACGTGGCGACCACACTTTTGGGAGACCTCACGGCTTTGCTCGTGAACATGTAGAAAGGGCATATTTATAGTCGGGAATGGGCGCTTGATTATTTGAAAAAGACAACAGAGTTACGGCAGAGTGGGGTTCCAGTGTGGCTATTTATAGCTGCACCAAAAAAGGCATTCTCAAATGTGGTGAAAACTTTCCGCGAGCTAGCGGGAACGTTCGTGCTCATGCATGAAGATGTTTTCAGTAAAACGCTCAACATCAGTGATCAATGTTTGACAATACATGGTGTGGGACTTGAAATCCAGTCAGCAGCTGCATGTTGGGCTTGAAACTGTCTGCCAACAGATGGCTGGAAGTGCGCATTGGCCGAACGCCTCGTGGCCGAGTGTGCAAGCCCGTTGTCACCGGTTGGGCCAAAGGGTGTGAACAGCCAATCCGATATCAAAACTTGTTCACTGCAGTGCCCAATGCGTTGTGTGTATGGTTTTGGCTAAGGTGGTGACTTGAATCAGGGTCTTGTGAGGGACAGGAAGAGAAGACAAAGTGCGCTAAATACAGAGCGCAGCCACCCATTTTAGGACAAACACGTGTCGCGACAACGGGCGCGGAATGTGGGAACGCTCAGCGGAAGGGCGTCCGAGGGTTCACACATCATCACTCCTCAAAAAGGCCAGCCTCACCTCACTAACTCCTCTCTCTCTTACCACCTTCTCCTTCTCTCTTTCTGTCATATACACGAAACCATACGGAAGATATGGCTCAGCAAACAGTGCCCTGTCAGGTGCGTCGTTTCCGTCCATATCCACACCAGTTCGTGTGCTGAACTGGTTGCCACGCAGTACCGCACCGGGAAGACGCTCGGCTCGGGGACGTATGCCATCGTCAAAGGTGCGCCTTTCCCCGCACTTCTATCCTAGACATTGTGACTAATGTCGTTTGCTGGTCTGCAGAGGCCGTGCATATCAAGACCGGAGAATACTTCGCATGCAAGGTCATCAACAAGAAGCTCATGGAGGGTAGGGAGCATATGGTGCGCGCTTCGAGCTATCTAATTGCGTGCTCTAATTGATATTGGTGGTATCCAGGTCAGGAACGAGATTGCAGTCCTGAAGAAGGTGTCGAGAGGGAACAGGAACATTGTTACGTTGCATGACTACTTCGAGGTATGTGGGGACGTATCACGATCTGCAACGATGCTTATAGTACATGATTAGACTGCGCATAACCTTTATCTCGTCTTCGATCTCTGTACAGGTGGCGAGCTGTTTGACAGGATATGCGCAAAGGGATACTATTATGAACCGTAGGTTGTCCCTAACTGGGACGCGCAGTCCTATGCTGAGACATAGCAGGGATGCGTCTGTGCTCATTCACACACTCATGACTGCTGTGGAATACATCCATGGATGCGGGATTGTACATCGAGGTATCTCCTATTCAGATCCCGTGGAAACCAGCTAATAGATCCCAGATCTCAAACCGGAGAACTTGTTGTTCCGTTCCCGTCTCGAAGGTGCGGACGTCATGATAGCAGACTTTGGCCTCTCCCGTATAATGGATAGTGACCAACTGACGCAGCTCACGGAAGTGTGTGGTACACCCGGATACATGGCGCCGGAGATTTTCCGCAAGCTCGGTCACTCCAAACCCGTCGACATCTGGGCGATGGGCGTGATAGCCTATTTTCTCCTTGGTGGGTACACTCCGTTCGACCGGGATAGTCCACAGGAAGAAGCCGAAGCGATCTGTGCGGGCGACTTCAAGTTTGAGCCTGCAGAGTACTGGGTCAACGTGTCCGACACCGCGAAGAACTTTATCCGCACTTGCTTGACGATCGACCAGAACAAGCGGCCTACGGCAAAGCAATGCCTGCAGCACCCGTGGCTAGCTGACAAGAAGGCGCATTTCGTGCCCGATCCCTCGAGCGCACTTGGAACGCCTATCGATCTTCTGCCGCAGGTCAGGAAGAACTTCGATGCCCGCAAGACTTGTGAGTTCCCAACCTATCGCGAGAGTTTTGGTTCTGACCTCTTTCTAGTCCGCAAAGCGATCAACTCAGTTCTCGCCATAAAACGGATGTCTCATCTCCGCTCGTCGTCCGAAGATTTGCGCGCAAAGGTCCGTGGATATATGGACGAAGCTGAGAAAGAAGAGGTCGACCATGTATTCGCGAGGGTGGAATCGTCGTCGGACGACGACTACCATGGTTCACGCTCAAACAGCCACGGAATGCAGAGCAATGCCTCGAATCATTGAATTTCGCTCTCAGATCTCGGCACAGCGTTCTCACGGTTCTTGGTTTCTTGTCATATGCCCTGCGTCGCATAATCTTCGTCTGTCGGCAGTGTACTACTGCTGCTTTACCTGTCGTAATCACCGTCATCGCGATGACCTTTGGAGCGGAGGGATGCCTTTTTGTCATCATCAGTTATGCTTGTCTCTGGGAGACAAATTGGAGGAGATTTGCCACCTTGCTCAAGTAACCGTTGTAACTAACTTGTGGTGTGACACCCACGTAGCTTGTCTTGAATGATGTTGTAGAAGTACGTGCGAAGTCGCACAGAAGAATGAAGTAAACTGATATTATTGTATTCTTGATCCGGGAAAGCGCTTGTTCAGAGTTAGCTATGAATAGCGAGCTACGCCGGCACGAGACCTCCATTTAGGGCCCTCCGTAGTCAACTGTATCTCATCACGACTCGTTCCAGATACGGCAATTGAACGATGAATCTCCACCTGACGCACCTCTTGGCGCTCGCACCTGAGGATATCTTGCATTACTATTGGCTGGGTTGGCAATCCGACCCCTAGGTGTCAAACTGTAGAAGGGCCTCATTCGCTTCGGGGATTAGCGCCCCGACGAACTTCTATTAATGCGCCAGACCTTTCCACAAGTCGACGATCTCTGCGGGATCACTACGCCGATACAGTATCTTCTTGTATGCTTTGTATCCCCTTGCACATTCTGGTGAACCATCACTATGTCATTGCCGTAGCCAAAGATGCACGAGAGGACGACCTGGTCCTGGCGCTTGTCCTCTACATTCAATCAAAACGACGGAAGGGCCGAACCGAGAGCGCTCTCTTGAAGAAGTTGGAATCTCTCGAGGTGTGTTCATACTCTCCTGGAGCTGGCATCATGCATTCGTTTCTTATTGCTGGGATACTACTTAGGAGCTGTACAAAGACGAGGTTTCATTGCACTCTGCTTTTCGTCTCGCCCGTGGAATAACCTACCTGCCGCCGAGCACCGTACTTGGTGCACCAACACCCGAAGAGCTACGGAAGTGCTTGGTATGGCAGGATGACCTTCTGGAAAGCATGGAGCCAGGCCCTCATGGACCAACCAACGCCGTTTTGTCGTCCAAGTTGATATTGAGCAAGTGCTTCCCTGCCCGGGGCATCCAGCTCCCCCGTTCGCCCAGGGGGTCACGTTCGGCGTCCCAGATGCGTTCTGGAGCAGCTACATATGAGCAGTCTTCTTCCATTCCCATAGGGGGTTCGCTGACCTATCCCCCGTCACTCGGTGTTGGATCTTCAATTCCTTCCGGGTCCCGAGACACCGTATTTCAAGATGGGGGATCCATCAACTCCCGCCCTGCTTCTATTTGGGCTCCAAAACTGATCCCACTATACAACCGGCCTAACAACGGCAGATTCTCACCAATGACTCGGTCTTGGGAAACGATCTTCCAGGACGGCGGTTCTCTCTGCGAAGCTACAGCACCGTCATTCGACAACAGAGCCCCGACATCCTACAGCTCATTGGGATATGGTGGAGCAGGTGGATTCACCTGGAGACCTCCAGCACGGGCCAATATGTATGAAGTCCTTCAAGAAGATCGTGACCGGAACGGTTTCCTGCCACAGCTCCCGCCGCTATACGAGCACCCTGCCGCTCCTGTTCCTTCACCGTCTTCCTTACGGACAGAACTTCTCTAGTAGAAAAGTGTTGGCGAATGGGCCAATAACCTGTTCTCGCCCATTATTTCATTTTGTTATCAACTGCAGTCCATATTTTTTCTCTGTTGTACAATATGATCGTGCGATGGTGATTTTAATTATAATTATTTCAGTGTTTGTTGGATCTGATTGGGTGGAGGCCCCAACCCTAGCTTGATTTTCCCGCAACCCTAACCCCAACGTATGCCTCCAGAAAGCCTCGCATGAAATAGAAATTTGATTATTCTGTTCAATCCGCCCCAAGAGTGCTGCTCCCAGGGTTACTCTATGATAATGAAACACAGGCACAAACCAACGAGTCCATAGTTGGGAACAACCTCCGAACCAGTCTCCTACCTACCGCTCTGTCTTCTTCTTTCTAATTCATTTTGATGATTACACCGACGGCATTCGCTCAACAGTTGGGGAAGATACCCGCCTCCCTCCGCTCGTTCGTCATGGCTACAGATGGAGCTCAGATCACGGTTTAATAGGCAAACAAGACAAAGACACATACCAGCAATGATAGCACTCCCGACACCACTCCCATCCTCCGCATGCACAGTCCTGATATTCTGCCCCTTCGGACCAAAGATATCCACCAAGCCCTGGTGCACCCTCTCCGGGAACCCGGGGTACTTCGAGTACAGGCTTCCGTCCGCGGCGACGTCGCAGCCCTCGTTGAGGTAGCCCATTTTGGACACGATAGCCGCGATGCCGCACGCTGAGAGCCGCGCAGCACGGGTACCGATGAGCCTCGCGAGTGCACGGAAGAACTGGCGCTCCGCGAGGGTTGTCTCTAGCCCGTAGAAGTGGGTGAAGATGCCCACGACGGTGAGGAGTTCATCTGTCGGATCCGCCTCCATGAGGGAGAGGAAGGCGGTTTCGAGAACGTAGGGCTTTTCGAGTTTGTACGTGTTTTGGCCCAGGAAGATGGAACCGTCGTCGATCATCTCGCAGACCACGAGCCGGAAGATCTCCCCGAGGTATCGGCCAGAAATGAGTTTCTGCCAAGCGGGGTCAGCAGTCGCGTCCGCCCACGTTACCCCACCTGTGAGAGCATCCAGGACAAAAGAAACTCACCTCAAATGCCTGCTCATCCGGTTTGTTGCTCGATTGGTCGATGTCGATATCATACTTCGTCCTAGGCAAATGCTCATGCGTGAAACTGTCAAACGCGCCCCACTCGCAGTTGATGGCCATCTCCCCATCATCTGGAAGACCAAGATTTTTGATCTTGGGAATGTTACCAATCTTCTCCATATATGCTGCGTTGCATCCGGTGCCGAAGATGACCCCGATCCGGGTGCGAGGGTTAACATAATGGGAAGCGATTAACGTGCCGGTGGTATCGTTGATGAGGGATGTAAGCTGGATGGGCACTTCGAATTTTTCAAGGGAATGACGGAACATGGCTGCGACGTCGTGTCCCTCGACGTTGAGGTTGCCGAAACCCTTTGTCCAGCGGATGAGCTTGCCATGATCGATGCGCTCTTGCTCACAGGGGTAGGAGAACTACGTGCACAGAACATATGAGTAACCACATGAGGCTTTATTAACGAGTTGCGCACCGTAAAACCGAGAGGTATGGCCGCCCCTTGAAGATCAAAATCTGCAAGGTAGCTATCCACGAACGTTTTCAAGCACTTTGCACAAAAATCGAAAAGCAACTCGCCCTCCTCCTGCTTCTGTTCCTCCGAGAGACGGTACTTGGTTTGAGTGATCTCGAACTTGCCATCTCCCTGCAACATGACAAGACAGACCCGGAGGTTGGTGCCGCCGAGGTCAAGAGCGAGGTAGGAGCCTGTTTCGCTGCCTTTGGGCCAACCAAAGACGTAGGTTGGGATCATGGGCTATTATGAGAGGTCATGAATAAGATCCTCGCTGACATCGGGGTAAGAATACGCACCACCACCTCTCCGAATTTCTGTAACCCCTTGTCGAGCGTCTCCTCAAACGCATCAACGATCATCCTCATTCTCTGTGGTGTGAGGGTAAACAGACTCTCGTATTTGCGGAGATGATCCGCCATAGTCTTCTTCGTCGCATGTGGAAGCACCTCCTCATCGTGCTTACGATGGTGGAAGGGAAGATCTTTTCCCGTCATGGTGGGTACTGTACCTGATCCGCGACGAGATGCAGGCAATGAGAGGGAGATGGAAGTACGGCGGGATACGCCTTGGGGGGGTGTCGCGAACCCTGAGGGGACTGTGCCGTCGATGGATGTCATAAGAGTAATGGACATGATGGGCGGTGCTGCCAAAGGGGTAGACGATAATAGTAGAAACTGAAAGTAAAAGTAAAAGAGCTAGCTGGTGGTGGTAAGGAAGAAAGATGTGGTCGACCCGCCGTTGTTCGTATTTAGACTGTGAAAGGGTTCGTGTGCAGTGGGGAGGGTTGATGTCATTCCCGATCGGATCCTTTTATTTCAACATTGACATGTGATCTTAATTTAATCAGAGCAAAGAATGAAATTAATCCAATAGTAATATACACTTTTACTCCTGCTCTGCCAAAACAACCTTCTTCCTCTCAGCCTTAGGCTTCCCCTCCCTCCCTTTCCTAGTACTCAACCGCGCATTCTCCTCCCTCACCTTCCTAGCATCGAGCATAGTCCGCTTCAACTTCCCAGCCGAGTACACCGGCTTAGGCAGGTACCGTTGCCTCTCCACCTTGCGCACCTCGGGCGCGTGGGCCCATTTCTCTCGCAACTTCGCTCGGTACTCTCGTGCAGCACGTTCGCGACCGTCTAGTACGCCGAGCTTGTCAGAAGCTTGCGCCTTCCATAAACGCACGTTCCCGTCATCAGATCCAGACAGGATAAACCGCGCGTCAGCAGTATACTGTGCTGCGAACACCCTATTAACATTGAATGAGTACCCTCTGCAGCTCAGTTTTTTGACGGAGAACCGCACCTCTGCATTCGCTTGCCATGATACACATCCCTGCTCCCACCTTCGCCCTCTCTCCAAAGTCTGACCGTCCTATCCCATCCCCCACTCACGAATTCTGTCCCCGTTGGCGCCCAATCGCAGCACATCACCGCAGCCACATGACCCTTATATATCTGTGTCGGGCTTTCTAGCTTGCGGATGTCGAACGTGTACAGATTATGATCTTCCGAGGCGAGGAGCATCACCGTAGGCTGTGTGGGATGCCAGCTCAGTGCGTTCGCCCGAAGTTGAAGTACAAGACGTCGCTCGGCCTTTCCAGTCCGGACGTCATATAGGCACATCGTCCGGTCTGTACCTGTCGATGCCAGTACTGATGTTTCCGATTGGTTGAATCTCACTGTCAGGACTGTCTCTACGCCGGTTCCATAATTCATGGAAAGAATGGGGTCCATTCTATATTTCAAACACTATCAGCATCCACGCCCAGGGCATGAAGTGATGGAGGAGGAAGACCGTACTTTGTCTCATCCCATAACTGCACGGTATTCGATGCGCTCACAAATTGAGATTCCGTCCTATGATGGTCTACCGCACTATCTCACCCCAAATTAGAGCGCTTAGTTTCCAGGAAAGACTAAACGCACTTAAACGCCATCTTCCCCTGGAACACTCTCAAAGGTGCCTCTCCAGTTGAGCCACCCGCCCTCGGCTGAGGTGCAATAGCTAAACTATTGTAATACTCGTCCTCGTCATCTGCACGAGTATCTGTGCCTGCATCCGCGGACCAGAGCTTGATCGTCCGATCCGGGCTGCAGGATAGGAGCTGCCGTGTGCGGGTGAAGGTTAGCCCAGAGACAGTTGAGGTGTGCGCTTTGATCTTCCGGACTTGGGTGCGCGAGGGTAGATGGTGAAGCATGATCTCTATTTGCATATCAAGAGATTAGTTATTTGCACGAGATGTGAGCAGATAGAGAACGCACCCCCATACCCGCTCCCACTGCCCACAACTCCCAACCTCCCCGGATCCCGAGCAAGCACATACACCCCATCCCCATGCCCTTCCATGGAGCACACAAACGGCTTAGCGTATATCCTCTCTAATTTGGCTGCTGTCAGTGCGCGGGTGTACTCTCGTGCACGCGCGAAGGGGTGCAGGGAGGGATCGAGGTTCCTTTGCCGCGGTGTTGGGTCACCTGCTCGTGAAGGAAGGGCCTGGGTGGCGGAACGTTCCAGGACTTTAATTTTCTACAGTAAAACATTATAATACAGTAATGAAATGAGAGGCACAGCGCTTACCATGATTGTGGAGTGTTGTTATGGGGGTATAGGAGTGGTAGGAGAGGAAAGAGTTGTGAACGGGCGCTTGCAGAAAGTCAAGTAGGTGAGTGGCGGTGCACCAACTTTTCACAATCACGTGCAACCATCATCCAAAAGCTCGGCTGACCAGCCAGGGAGCTCCGAATGCTTGATCACAACAAGGTGGAATAGAGATTTTCTCGAACGAACGACATGTACATTATATAGATGAAAGAAATCAATGACAAGCGCAACTCTCAATTTCCATTACCGATCCTCGACATTGCTCTCTGATCCTGTCCAGTGTGCAGATCGAACGAGAACCGTTCAAGGATGGAACCTCGCCAGCCTCGCCCTCTTCTTCTTCTTCTCTTCATTACGCTTCTTCGCTTCTCCCATATCCTTAAGAACTCCCTCCATTCTCTCCTCCATACGTTTCTCAGACTCCGGGTGGCGGTCGGTGCGCGACAGCTCGAGCTCGTTGTCAAAAACGGGCTCGGCCGCGAGAGGCTGGGAGCGGGAACGGGCGACGGCTTGTCGAGCGGCCACGGTGACAGGATTGCGGTGCCGACCAATACCGGGCATGGTGGGCGCGGCGAAGGCGGAAGTTGCGCACAGGAACACGAGAGCGATCGTGAGCAGATGGTGTGGGCAGAAACGCATGTCGGTGCAGGTTTGCGCAATTAAGTATTAAGTGTTGTGATGCGTGAAATGTGCGAAATATTTGTGTGTTGAAGTCTTGTAGTGTAATGATTAGAGAAAGTAGCGAAGTGTGTCGTTGGTGCAGGGGGTGTGAAGTTCGACGTCAAGTCTTTTCAGCAATGTAGTTCAGAAGGCAGCAGAGTCCAGCTCCGGCGTAAAATATGTTGGATGGATAGTTGACAGTTTGGGAATGTCCATATATTATTTCCCGCGGTCTTATACTCAGGGCGCTAACGCCTTCCAGCCATTCGAGCTCAACTGAGGCAGCACAGGGTTTCGCCGCAGCGGCGGGTTGCAAGACCAGCCACCCGGTCCGTTCAGGATTTGGCGCATAACCGGGTTCAGGATGTTTCGCTAGTTCGCCAGTATAAATCAAGTGGAGTTCGACGGAGCAGGTCGTAAAAAGCCATCCGCTCCTGCCGCACAGGCCAAGGGTGGTGGAATGACGGGAGAACGGATATGACCCATACCGTCATCGGCACCGAGCGGAGGCATTTGTGGGCGCTTAAATAGTGTGCGGTGGACATGCCCCAGCCCAGAGGCTGGCAGTTGTTATTCAGTCACTACGGGGAGACAGCGTCTTCAGTGACTTCAATAATAACGCCGAGGAACCCGTAGCGTATTAAAATTAGGCATTCTACCGCGCCATCACGCCATCAAGAGGACCATGTCCAAGCCCATGGCGTCGACGGTCAATTCCAAATCTACCCTCCCCTCCCCATTCTGACACGTAATCTCTTTCTTCAGTTCTCCGTCGACGTACATCCCGTATGTGCCTGTAGGAAGATGGATAACGGAAGGGTTGATCCTATATCATCCTATGAGCTTCTTCCTTCCTGTCGAGAGCAACAAAAACAGGTGAACCACATACATGATCTTCTCTCCCGACCAGCTCCTCAAACTCAACACAAACGCATTCCTCTTTTCATCCCACAACCCCCTCAAGAAATCCACCCCGTCCGCAAACGTAATCCCCACCAAAGCTGGGTACCCACGTACTCTTCGATCATCCCACGGCTCCTCCCACATCCGGCGCTGGCCGTTCTCGACATTCAGGTGTGCGTAGCCGATGGCAGCGTTGCCCGTGAAGGGGTCCATCTTGACGTCGCTGTCGTATGCCGAGGGGTAGAAGAGTCCGCCTTTCTCCCAAGTGGGCGAACACGACGCGTCGACATGCTTGAGTAGCGCGTCCAGGCGCTGAGTGTCGAGCTCGGACAGCCATTGGGCGACGTATCCGAGCGTGGGCTGGGAATAGGGTGGTGCTGGCTTCCTGGCTTCTGAGGCATCTTCGCCAGCTCCTCTGTGGCCTGCTTCCTCAGTTCTTCGTCTTCCGGGTCTTTCCCCTCCTCTGCCAACTTCCGCACTATCCCCGCGACAGGAGGCTCATTCAGAACCAGTCTGCCTCCCTCTAAGCGGGTAAAGAACCCCATTCTCTGCGTCGCATACAGCTCCCTACATCTTACCGGGTCCGAAGCATGCATGAACGCCCCCGCCCATGCGGAAAACCCAACACCGTCCGAGGGCACTGAGCGATCGTTTGACCAGGTACATGCTGATCAGCAGCCCAGAGGGACCAGCGAGCATGTCGTTCTTACGAGGCCATGCCGAACGGTAGTGTGCGATAGCCTCTTCAGCAAGGTCCGTGCCTTCGCGGATGTCGTTGTATCGCATGGCAATCAACTACGTTATCTCCATGTAAGGATGCGCCAAGCAGTCGAGGGAAAGAGTTCGCTTACAGGGAACTGGTTACAAACAACAAAGATCGCATTAGGCTCACACGGGCACCCCAGCCAGCCGTGTTTCTCCATCTCGTCCCAAACCACCTTTTGCAGGCTCATGCGCTTGTAGGAGAACTTCTCTGGGCTGGTGCTTAGGCCCCAGAAGATTGGAGCGTGCACGAAAGTCAGCCCCGTGGGGTCGTCGTATTTGTTCGAAGCGAAGAGCATGGAGTGGAGGGAGACCATGAGCAGGAGATGACCTGAATACTATTTCCAAGGAGGTCAACGATGGTACAGAAACGTAACAGGAAGGCAGAACCGTACCATAATATTCTCTTCTTTGACCGGGTCGGCCCAAGGTTTTCTGAGTTGCTTTAAATCGGGATCCACCTTGACCCCGCTCTGACTAGTCAGGTACCAGTATCCCCACACCTCCCGCCTCGTCATCCGCTCTACCAAAGCTTCGATCAACACCTGCATTGGCTCTCGCACTCCAGGTAGGCGGTGATAGTGCGCTGCCCCAGGAGCGTAGCACATGATCGCAACCTGGTATCGATACGCATCCAACCATTCTTGTTGCGGGTCCTGGGAGCCCATGTACGCCCAAGGATGCGGGGAGGTCTGCGTTGCGAGGTTGTGGAAATGACGAAGATGACCGGCTTGGACTGGAGTCAGGGCTGGACAGGTCGATAGGTCGATAGGTAGCTTCGAGGGCAGGCTGCCTGTCAATGAAAGAACACCGCAGCTCGACATGGAAGTTGAAACTGTCGTAGTGGACATGATGTTCTGAGCAATGTAGAACTTCCAGTTGCTGCCAGTCCGTGTCGTCAGTTGTTAGACAATCAGCCTATTATAAGCATCGAGAGTACATCCTGATAAGCGATTGGAGAACGTTCAAGAGCACCAACCAGCTCGATCGACCACCATATATATATCTATGACACGGTACCGAGCGGCTTCGTCATGCATAGCTCGGCGATGCGGCAAGTGAGCCCTGCCAAGGAGCAGCGTGGGATACTCTCGCGTGACACGGTAGTGTCAGCAATACAGTTGGTTTGCAACTCGAGACGACCACCATGAGAAGACCAGTCATCCACTCAACATTGGCTTATTCTGAATGCAGCCATCCTGGAGGCTACATGGTGGTTGTGCGTAGAGTTGGATTGGGCCTCTTGGTCACGGACAAAAGTTGCACCGCATTTCTGATTGACTCCGAGTCCAAGAGAGCCGATTTTCTCTGTTAGAATTTCATCTGTCAAGGTTGAACTCTGCATAGTTCTCAGGATTGTCGTTCGAAGATATGCGACAGTTACTGTCAAGTGGAAATGGGTCGTGTGAAAGGTCATACTAACGAATAGGGGGCGGGGCTCATGGGTGCCTTCTGACAGTCTCCCACCGGGATTGCGGTCACAGTACTGAACCCGTCCACCATTAATGCGCGGGAACGCAGGTTTAATTGTCCTGTTTCTCGTCCCTAACTGGACTCTGCCTGCTTGCTCTCGACATGCAAGATGTTCAACTACCGTTCGGACACGCAGATGGACGTGCATATGGCCGTCATCGGGGCCACAAGCATGAACAACAGCACTATCGTGGAACATGCGCTGTGTCGGTGGATCGAGTCTAAACAGCGAAAAGGAAGGACGACGGATCATATTCTTGAGAAGCTTAATGGACTCGAGGTGCGTAAACGCGTCTGATGGATCGGTTAGACGCTGGATGGGTGTGGCAGAGGCGGTATTCCTTTGATGCGAGCCTGCATGATGCGTTTCACGTAGCGCGTGCGAAGACGGGACTTCCAAGGAGCACCGTATTACCTCCATACCGGCAAGCGATGAGTATTCGGCAGTGGTTGCAGCAGGCACAGGCGCGCATCCACGAAGCCGAAGAGAGAGCGCGGGAGGTGATGCGTCAAGCCGAAGAGCGGGTTTCGTCTGCTGAACAGGCTGCCGAAGAGAGGATGCGAGAGGTGGAGCGGCAGGCGGAGGAGTACATGTGGGAGGCAGACGAGCGAGTGCGGGAGGCAGAGGAGAAGGTCCGAGAGGCAGAGGAGCAAGTGCAACTGGCCGAGGAGAGGGTGCGGATCGCGGAGGAGCGAGTGAGGGAGATTCAACATTCGGCTTTCCACATCAATTCTGACCGTCCGATTACGCCGGCATCTACAATCTATTTGCGCCGCCGCAGTCAAGATTCGGAATCCTATGGCACGATCTTCCAGCTAGGGGGGACAATCCCGTCAGCTTCACTGTCATCGCTGTCCTTGCCAAGCAGGCGTCCGGTTGCGGCCCCCACCGTTGGTACTCGTGCACAAGAAAACGACGACGATTCGGTATATGACACACCACCTTCTCGGGCACCAAGTCCATGACTTCGTGTAGGGTTCGTGGCCTGAGCGGTATCCACCTCTCTTTTTTCGGGAAAAGCTAGGATTCATTTTGGGTTATGGGCGACTGTTGCTAATTCTGTCAGACCAAACACGACATAATCTATGATTTAGGCGCCAGTATACGCTCGGGACTATGTTGGATCACGACACGTCTCTCGCCGGTCCAACCTACTTTTTAATTGCCCCATTCGTTCTTTCCTACTTCAACGCATGCCAGCCTCATTTCCCTCATGCCGGCCCATCTATCATTGCCGGTCCTCTTACGAGATCCTCAGCACTGATTCTGCCCTCGCACGTTTTCTGATATCCTGACTTACGTGTGCATTGTTCGATATATGCTATCCAGCTGTTATTCGATGCTCAAGGGATGTGGTCCGAATACGCTCGAAGTTCTTGTGGCTCAGACAACAACAGTCCCAGGGAAGAACAGAGCCTACTCGACAGTTTGCTTTGAACGCTTACAACACCCGACTACATTAATCCGCCTCCGTCCTTCGTTCCTCAGCAGCGTCATGATCTGGGAAAACAATCACGTCGAAGTGCACGCCGCGCTAGCTCAATGCGGCCGAAACATGAACGAAAGCAACACAAGCTCTGCACCTCTATATGCAGGCTAAGTAGCGAAACTACAGACCCGAAACCTACATCATTGGCAAACTCGAACAGCTTGAAGCAAGACAACGTCTGCCTTTTGTACGGTTTAAGCACTTACACGTTGGGAAACATAGACGGTGTTTATTTACGACCGAACCTTACATGCGGCCTTTCGTGCGGCACGGACTGAAACTGGCCTTCCACCAAGTACTGTGCTGCCTCGCGCTTGGAATATTCGAGAACCGCTAGAAGAATGTGAAGTGAACCCTCCTCCGATATACAGGGCAAACGACCCAATACACTAGGGGGCGGAATCCAGCTGACACCTGCTAGTGGGATACGCAGCCTTGCGATCGAAACTTGCGCTTGGTGAGCCAGCGTATCGAAGTAATATTGTTGTCGAATCGGTCCTCGTTCGTGCGACCATGTGTATTGTACTCGCTCTTCGTTTCCCCCTTCTTCTATGTCCATCTTCTGTTTCCTCCTTGCTTTGCCTGGAATCAAGCTGAGCAGACCATTCCCTTTGCTCACGAAAGCTCTTGCATGCGGTCGTCCACCCGATTAGGACCCCGATCACACTGCGGAGCGAGATGTCAAAAGCAGTCTGCGCCGGGGTCCCCAAACTCATCTTTGTCTCGGCGTCTACCTCTTCTTTGAACCGCAAAAGCACAAATAAGAGCCACTGCTACTGCCTCTCGTTGCATTATTGGATTCTCTAGCTCTAATTCTGAAAGCTCAGTACTGTCTGCGGATTCTCAATTCAACAGAGGAGCTCCTCTCAGCGCCGTCTCTCATTCGCGAAACAAATTCTCAGGCGCCTGGATGCTATGTATCCCATTCCCCCCTCGATGCACTCAACGCCATGGCTGTGATCGCTCGGGGGAATCAGGGCGCTGTGGCCGATGCTCTAGCTTGGTACATCAATGCGAAAAGAAAAGGTCGAAATGAGAGCTATATTGTCGCCAAATTGGAAGCCCTAGAGGTACGGTGCCTTTATGGTATTGCATGCGTTATAATGGGCTAAGAGGAGCATGCGATTAGCGCCAATTTCAAGATGTTGTATCCTTGCATGCATCATTCCGCGATGCCCAGATACGGACCGGTCTACCAAGAAGCAGGGTACTTCCAGCATTGGCCGCGAAGCAATCTTCTCAAAATGAACCGCCTACGTATAACGATCCTAATATTGGAATAGTGTCGGCAGGACACCGACCGAACCGGGCGTCGTCCACCGGACTAATCATCGCGTGGCTGCCATATTCTGGTGTCCTGCCACTCGGATCAGCGATGGACATATTAGCAAATGAGATGCCATCCGATCTCCGATCGCGACCCACATCGTGGCAATCGAATGGACCACCGTGGCCCAGTTATATATATCCAACAGTCGTGACACCTGATGGACCTGTTGACCCAAGGATGTCATGGACAACAGTGTTCGAGGACGGAGGATCCGTATGTTCCGCTCGAGCTTCTCTACGCGATCTACCAAACATCGTCCCCTACGCCGACGTTTCACGGCGTGAGTCAACAGCGTTGCACCGTTCGTGGGAGACGATCCTAGAAGATGGAGGTTATTTAGCGTCGATCACATCATCCATCGCGTCAGGGTCACTCCGCCGAGTTGTTCGGCCATACCCGTCACTGCTGTTCATTGCCGATATGTCTTCAATGGAGAAGGAGCCGGAGGAAGAGAGGAGAGCCTCTCTCGACACAGTGTACGAGTCGGGAGGCGAAGTCGGTTCGCCGAAACTGGCTAGACCTGCGAGTCTTCTGCCAGAGACTCCGACGTGATCATGTCCTGGCCCGGAAGAAGAATACGCCATGACGTCTTTGAGTTCATGACGGGAATACAGCAACTTGCATTTCTTGCGAGTACTACTACTACCACACGGATTGATGACCTAACGAAGATCCTATCTCTCAGCGTCAGCATTTCCCAAAGGCAGACTGGCAGGGGTGTTGCACAATTGGCACCAAACCCATCTCAAGCATTCCGAGCACGCCTTCCGAGTCATTCCTTCTCTTCATTGCGAAGAGAAAGCTGAGGGAGAATGGAGAACCCGGATCAAGACGAAGGGGCCTCGCGTTGCATGCAATTGGGTCCCCTTGTCTGAGGGTATGACGTATTACACGAGCAGCAAGAATGATACGATCACGAGGCTTGCGAGACATCGTACTGAAAGGGTTGTATGGAAGGATGCATATATCCGGAGCATGCAGCGGCATCTTGTTATCCAGTATTCGACACGCGGCGGAAAATACGATGAACGTTCGAGGAGAGCAGTTCCGTACTGGCGTGACTGCCGTGCATAAAGGGTCGGCAGTTAGACCGTCCGAGAGAAAGTACTGACAAGTTCTAACAGAGCACGAGCATAATCCAGCGCAGGTGTGGCTCGTAATGTGCATGGTCCGGCCTGACGCTGGATGACGATGCTGCATACCACGCCTTATGATAGGAGAGGTGGGATTCGTACGTTCTGCTCGATGATCATTGCGCATTTGGAGCGGAAACTCCATTGACGTGCAGTACGGGGATCAGACACGGGTAGGGCAGCGTATTTGTGGCGCAAACGAATCGCCTGCGTATTGTTGCCACAGCACGTTCTGCGCTCTCCAGTGTTTGCCACTGCGTGCCGTCACGTTCGCACAGGCGCACCACGCGAGCGCCAAGCTAGAGCACGCGGTCCCTCGCTGTCATCACACGTGGATTGTGACAACAGCGTCTCCTGAAAGAAAAAGGCTCTTCCCCTCGGATTTGTAACATGTGATCTGATGGGAGAGAAGCGGGCGCCTTCGTTTTCTCTCGGCAGGGTTCTTCGGCTCCGCACACGCCTGTTATTCAATGAGGCGATTGCGCCTTTCCCGGTGCGGTCATGAGCAAGGGAAGGTTTATTAGGAGAGAAGAGTGCTGTAAGAGTCAACGTATCAGATGGTGCACTCGAGCTGTGGGAGCTTGTTGGCAGGCTGGCAGGCACGGAAAGCCAATGTTATCAGGTACGGCCGATGATCAGGGATCTCGGACCGAGCATCGTGTTACATACGTCGTATTCCGTCGCGTCGTACATTGCATTGCTGTTCACTGCCACGCCGTGCAGCGACTGCAATGCTGCAACAGGCAACCAGTGACAGCCATGGTCGTCGATCGGGGTGCACGTTCCATAGGGGGAGTACTGCATGACGCTGCGCTGCGGACGGGGGAGCCCGATGAAATTGTACAGCATCTAGTTTGCGGCCGATAGAGAGACCAACAATGGGAAGTCTATCTCTCCCCCTTTTGCATGAGTCGCGTGGTTGATGCCTGTGTATGGTCCGAAGAGAGAGCGGGGTGACTCGGAATGCGCATTGTCAGCATGCTGTGGTGTGGTTGAACCCTCTCGGAAATCCCACCCTTTGCGGGCATCCTTCTTGAATGGGATATTGCTCGGGGCGTCTAAACTTTTAGGGGGAAAGTGAACAGGGCCACGTATGCTCCTAATTGTGGGGGTGTAAAGTGACACGTACCGCCTATTATTCTCCCTTTCTCCCAGGTCCTTATCGTTTGGTGGTCGTGAACAGGTGCGTTGTTGGCACTGTTCCATCAGCGCAGCCAAACAGTAAGCGGCGGTGCGCGGCATATTCGGTCCCTGACGTCCACAGGACTACAAGGGTTTCGAACAACGCACACGACAATCTCCCCTCTCTCTCTTTCCTTCCCTCCCCTTCCCCCCCTTCCCCCTCCTCCTGCTTTTCTACTACCCAGCTTATTGCAGCCAGCTTACCCATTCAATTGGTACGCTGATAGCTGCACACCCACTTACTTATCCGTGCCGTGCATGGCCTTAGACCACCGGCGTCTGCCAAACCACCTCACGTACCATCATGCTGTTTCGCGGGAGCGACCAGCTTGAGGTCGTCGCCGTTCTCGCCCGGTGCGGGGAGGACACGAACCAGGCTACGAACGCGCTCAGCAGGTATATACAGGGGAAGAGGCATAAGGGTCGGTCGGACGATTCGATCGTTTTGAAGATCGAGGATCTTGAGGTTCGTCTTTCTCACTGAGTGTTGTGAGGATGCTTACGGTGTCGTACAGAGACGCTATAAGTTCGATATGAGCCTTCATGAGGCTTTCCATACTGCACGCTCGCAGACCGGCCTTCCCCGGTCAAACATCCTCCCCTCCATTCGTAGGCAGCCGCGTCGCGACTCAGACGGCCGCCAGTCAGTACACGGCAGCCCAGTTCCAGAAACTGTGCCTTTGCCCGGGGCTGGAGATCCTCCGGCATCCCAGAGACTACAGCCAGGGCAGGATAGAGGACTGTCAGTTCCTTTACCTCCGAGGAATACACTTCCACCACGGGCGTCTATTTCTCCGGCAGGTCCTAACACCCTAGGAAGTCCGCAGCAGCGACCTGTGCAAGGACACTACATCGACCAGCAGGTGTCTACGTTCGTCCAACAAGACTTACCCCCAATACAGCCGCCTTTACCGTACACCGATCACCCACCCCGAGCTCCCAACTTCGATTTCCAGGCACGGTCCCTGCCTAGCCCGCCGCGGCCGTCGCTGGTAAAAGGACGACCGCCTCACCTGGGTCATCAACAACGGCTCTCAAGTCTTCCAGTACAGCCCGGTGTCCCCAGCTCTCCCTCTCAAATCCCAGTCCAAACGCGCAGCACACTTCCCTCACGCGGGCCTACTATCCCCGGCCAGCCTTATCACCACCCATCAGAAGACACCCCTCGCCCCTTCGGCAGGCCAGACACAGTCGCCCTGGACAACCCCCGCAGCGGTGGCTTCTCTTCTTACACGCAAACTCCTCCGCTGACCTACGGTTCCTCCGGTTCAAGCAGCAGACAAACCACACCTAACTTCCCGCCCCAGCCATCTTACCCTTATCCGCCGCAGCGTACCCCTCCGATGCAAGCCGTCGGATCCCAGGAGAGCCCAAAATGGCACAAATACTCCGCGCTCAAGCCCGTCGACGGGTCCGGGTCGTCTTCTTCCAGTGAGTCAAGAGGGGTCGGGCTCGACTTCCAACCTGGACCATCACGAAACCAGCTCAGTACCGCCTATTCCACTTATGCGGCTGAACATACTCGTCCTCCCCGACCTAACGGGGGGAGTGACGAGGGGAACGGAAATTTCCCCAACCCCTATACGCCTACAACACCGTATACCGCCCCTCTTGTCAGCAGCGGCAGCGGCTCTAGCCAAAACCCATACGTAAGGAGCACGAACAACGGATCCGGGTCTTATCAATCCGACAGGTCGCTCGATGGGTTCCGCCTCGGTCCCCCGGCGCTCTCGCCCAACTCCCCCAGCGCAATCGGGATGCGCCCGAATTCCCGCGCTCCCTCAGGCATGCGCGGTGCTGGTACACCACAGATCTACCCCTCCCCCCGCGTGGGAAGCGGGAGCAGTATGCCTTCCTCCTGTTCGCCCAGCACCTCGGGCAGCGGGGGAAGTAGTGGGCTTCGCGTCAAGCCCCTTCCAACTCCTCCGAGACAGTTTACCGTTCCCGGCTCCGAGAGGTCGCCCGGTACGCCTATCTCTCCCCTGACGCTCGGGCCGCCCAGCTCTGGGAGTGGGAGCGGCAGCAGTCATCGGAGCTCGTTTTCTCCTCCCGTGGCTCATGGGAGGTTTGCAACGCTCCAGACTCCTCGGGAGGTGCAAGAGGAAGAAGAAGAGGAAGAGAGGTGGAGGTGTTCTGCCGCCAGGATGTCATTATAGACTTCTTGACCTGACGACGTCCTCCCTTTATCGCTGCTAAAGCGCCGACGACGGGACATTCGATTCTTATCTATTATCCATTTGACGCTGGGTCCGTCGCGCCGCGAGATCGACCGACGGGACCGGCGGCCAACCTATGACGACTGGTCTCGTTCCCTTCTTTCCTCAAACTTCGTGCACCGCGCAGCTTGCCACGCGCCACGCACTTCTGCTCCGCCCACGAGCGTACGGACATTTCTCCCCTTTCGTGACGGAGAAGCACGAAGAGTCCTATCCCTAACACTGGCCGAGAGTAGAGGACACTCCCTACCCTTCGATATCTCTCATTCTGATACATCGTTCTCATCTATATCTACTATCCTGCACTCGCTACCAGCTATCACATATGTCCCCCCCTGCTGACTAACTTGTAGTTCCCCCCGAGCCCGAAACCATCGTGTAGCTTAAGCTCACGGAGCGTGTTTTTTTAGACGTGTTTGGCATCCGGTAGAGACAATCACTTGTGTAATTATTATCAGGAGCATACATTGGCTTAATGTCGTCCTTTTAATTGTCTACGTTGTTCATATGTATGCCGTAGTAAGTGAAGTGAAGATCACTCTGTTCATCTCTCTGCTCTGTTGGTGAGTTGGTGATGGTCACGACACCAGACAAGATGCTGGCTAAACGCCGATGCCGATCAGGGACGCGCGGGAGCAATACGTGGTAAGGCTTCCGCAGGCGAACGCAGTCCAGTAACCCCCGGTGTTCACGTCCGGTAAGGCGGCATTCTACTTGTTACATTCCTCCAACTCTGTGGACTTGACTGTCCCACGCACCGTGCTGAATGGCCTCCTACTTCGGCTTTGCCACACCGCTCGATCTCGACATACGCCTCACTGGGGAAGAGGAGCGCAAGACCGTCCAGGTCAAGCAGGACAAGGAACGGAAGGAGGCGTGCTGCGTGTACTATGATGGGGAGAGCGTGCAGGGGCAGGTGACGGTGCGGGTGAGGGATGGAAAAAAATTGCAGCATGATGGGATCAAGATCGAATTCGTGGGGAGTATTGGTGCGCTGTCATCGTCCATCCATATTGTGAGATGACTGCTGACACACCCTCAGAGTTGTTCTATGATAGGGGAAACCACTCAGAGTTCTTGTCGATGGCACAAGAACTCGCATCACCAGGAGAGATGCGGCAAGCGCAGACATTCGACTTCAACTTTAAAAATGTCGAAAAGCAGTACGAGTCCTACCAAGGTATCAACGTCAAGCTACGGTGCGTTGGTCGCCTCCATGCCCCTTTCTGTTAAATATGAAGATGTGACTGACGGTGGTCCAGATACTTCATACGTGTAACAATCTCCCGCCGCTTGGCTGATGTTGTCAAGGAAAAAGAGATCTGGGTACATTCGTATCGCATGCCACCAGACTCGAACAACTCGATCAAGATGGAGGTCGGGATTGAGGACTGCCTGCATATAGAGTTCGAGTATAACAAGTCGAAGTGTGTATACTCTCCTTTCTGTCTGTGGCATATACAGTGCTGACTCATCTCGCAGGTACCATCTCAAAGACGTTATCGTCGGCAAGATCTACTTCCTCCTTGTACGCATCAAGATAAAACACATGGAGCTATCTATCATCCGCCGGGAAACGACAGGTGCTGCACCAAATCAATACAATGAGAGCGAAACGATCACAAAGTTTGAGATCATGGATGGAGCACCAGTGCGGGGTGCGTCTTCTCCCTTCACAGACCTGCTGCGCACTGCTGACATGCACATCGTAGGTGAAACGATCCCAATTCGGCTTTTCCTTGGCGGCTTCGAGTTAACCCCAACATTCCGCGACGTCAACAAGAAATTCTCTACGCGGTACTACCTCAACCTCGTCCTGGTCGACGAGGAGAACAGGCGGTATTTCAAGCAGCAGGAGATCACCGTTTTCAGGATACCGGAAGTGAGTAGGAATACATTTTCTGGCATACAGCTATGCGCGGTACGATACATCATTCTGACAACGAAATAGAACTAGCGGAAGAGGTTGGGAAGACATCCATCCGAGATAGGGGGCAGGGAGGAAGGGGCGTGCAGAGGGAAGCGGTGTTTGGGAGGATAGTGTATAGCGGCTGTTTCCTTCCCTTGACACCAATGTGGTATTTGTATATGCTCTATTGTATACCCTTGGTTGAGAGCACTTTTGAGTGTCACGCCAAGTGACCAATATCCAGAGGATCATGTTGGGTGGTCATCAGTAGTCGCAAAGCTGAAGGTGAGGCAGGGGTATATCCTATTCCGAGAAGGTAAGTAACTAGCATGGACCAAGTGGGTAATAAGACAGACCAAATGTTCCCCTCCCTGCCACCGCAAATAACCTTGAGCGTAATAAGTCCGCTCACGACGCTCAAAACGACCACCGCGCCAAAGCTGCCCGCCATGAAGATGTTCTCTTCTCTCGAGAAGCCTTCCATACCCTCTACGTCTCTTTCCCCTAATCGAAGTTCCATGCGGTGATCGTAGTACTCTGAAGTGGTCGAGGTGGGGGGTTCTGCTGGTGCGTGCAGGTGTTCGTCTGAAGAACCAGCGGTGAGTGGGAGAAGCTCGATAGCGTTCCCGTGCCCAGACAGAGAGTTAGAGTGTCGATGAAGACGGAGAAGTGTAGATGAAGTGATGGGAGGAGAAGAGTCGGGAGGCGTCGTTGGGAGCGTTGGCACGCTTGGCATGCTTGAGTTGTGTCTCTCTGCCAAGCCAGGAAGCTGCAAGTGGAGAACGTTTATGCCGAGGAGTTTGGACGTCCGGAGAAGCGGGGTAAACACGTTGTCAGTTATGCTTCGGACAGTGCTGCTCTGCTGGAGGTTGGATGCCGGTCCGGGACGGAGAGGTTTACGTTCGCTGTTAAATGCGAGTAATAGACGACCCAAGGCCGATGTAAGCCAGTGTTATTCAAGGAAAGCCATGCCACTAGTAATACGATGTATAGCAGCAGGAGCCAGTTGTACTGGAGCAGGTCATGCCCTTCTTCGTCGACGTCAAAGAAGGAAGATGGAGGATGGAGGTATGTCGAGTGACCAGCAAGACGGCGCTGGCCAATCAAATTTCGATGGTTGCGGAACAAGGATCCGGCGGCGCCGTCTCGGCATTGAACAATTTGAATTCGGCGTCTCTTTTGCCAAAAGTACGACTATCGTAAGCTTCTATATATATTATGGTTATACAAAATGTAATGGGGCTATGAGCCTGATACAATTACATTAAACGCATATTATCCCATTCGAACCTGAATCCCTTGCAACTTTCATCCCCCTGGACCACATGCTCTCTCGCCAGCGCTGCTTGCTGCACTCGCTCTAACATGTGGTATCCAGTATCGTCCTGGAGCGTGTGCTCGTTTTGGTTGTCGATCACGGTCCGCAGACATTTGATGGAGCTGAAACAACCCGTTCCGCCGCTCCGAGCTCTTCCTCCCACTCACGCCGCCTCTCTCCTCCTCGACTGTCTCTAGATCTTCTGTATCTGATGCGTAGCCTGCAGAGGATATGGTCCCGTTGGTGCTTATCGGCAAAGACGTCGTAGAAGACGAGGCAATCAATACTACCTGTGTCGGACCGGGATCGGCGATTGTTTCGAGAGAATCGAAGCTCAGTCCAAGAGCGCTCCCTGTGAACGAAAGCTCTGGTAGACGGTACATAGAGGAACCAGTTGGAGTGGGTGTCCTATCAGTAGGAATGGAGTCGTGCGATTGGATCGTACCTCCATCCTCAAAGATTGTGCCCGAGTCGTATGCATAAAGTGAGCCCCCATCCTCGTAGGTCGTGCTGGCTAAGGAAACGTCGGCTGCCTCTTGCTCGTTTCCACGAGGGATGTTACCGTGCACGGAAAAAGCCTGCTCCACTGCAACTGGTGGGTGAATGCCTGCTCCTGTCACTAAAATGGCTTGTTCTTGGGTAGGAGTAGAAATTAGTCTCCGTTCTTCATCCTGCGCTGACTGGGTGTGAGGAGTCGGTTGACTTGGGCCAGCTATGATTTCAACAGGCGCCTCTGGCATGGGATATACGCAAGGTGGGAGACCTCTCCGTTCTCGAGCCACGCGACAGCTTTCTTGGAATTCTTCTTCCCCTGGACTCATATTCTGACCATTCCCATGTCAGCCCCCATTTCGAGGATCACCACACGCAGTCACTCACCTCGAGGCGTTCCATGTATGCAATGATCTCTGCATGCGCTTTTCTTTTGCGCTGCATTCCCTCGCTCCACTTGCAGGTCGCGTCGGTTATTTGGGGCATGGTCCCCCCGATCATCTGGAGCATGAGTTCATGCCAAGTGTCGCCTTTGAATGGTGATCCAAGTATCAGTCGCGGACTAGGCATGCTTCAAGATGATAAGAATCGCTGAGGACACAAAGATCTCTCTCCATGTAATAGCAATCAGAAGTCGTAGAGCGAGCTGTCCCTGCGATGTAGTACATAAGACTAAGCGCCGAGCGACGACGGCAAAGGAAACACGGGTATTCGCAGCGTCAAGCTTCTCATCCAGTGATCGTGCCTGATGTTGGGACTTCGGCTCGATGAAGACGTCAGCCAATCACAACATCATGTTGAAGAACGTGCTGAGCGCTAATCCAGCAGATGCCAGTATACTGTGAACCTTTGCTGGCAATTCCGTCCAAATTGCCCGAGAAAGTGGATGCCTTCCCGTAGGATCTGCGTGCCCCACGCAGATACGCAGAATGCGCTCATGCCGGAGTGGCGGAAGAATAAGTTCAAACTCCGAGCCTCACGCAGATATGCTCAGGGTTCACGCAGATTGCTTTTCTGTGTGGGGGGGTTGACCCCCCCATGCAGATTTTAGGTAGCACACAGACCCTCACGGATGTTTTCTACATGTGGTTGTCCCAAGGCTGCACAACACATGTTGTACATTATGCACATGGCCAGGTTGTGTGTCATCTGTTACCAACAATGATGATGGATCTCACTCAAGAGGACATCTATGCACCCTTGCCATCTTTACCCCCCATGACCTATGCTGATCTGTCTGCCTCCAGCTTGCCATCATCTCAGCCACCCCCATTTCCTCAGTATGCAGCCTCATCTTTCTTGAGCTACCCCCCCTCCTCCCTCTTCAATGTATCAAACCATGTTCTTGGCCTGCACCTTGAAGACTCACCTGCTTGTGTTCCTCTGCAGGCTGCACAGGCTGCCCCATCCACCAAATGCAAGACACAACCATCCAGCAAAGATCCACCAAGCCAGAAACACATCAGCAAAGGCCGGCCTCAGGGTTCAAGTGGCTACACTGACATTGAGCTCTTCAGGTTGCTTGATCTGGTAGAGGAGCATTGACCTATCAGTTCGGATGACTGGGACAAGATTTTTGCTTGCATGCAGTCCTATTAGGCAGAGCACTTGACCCTAGTGAGGACATTGGATAGCATTAAATGGATTTTTTTGATGTATGTTGCTGCACATCAGGATGCACATCCTCTGAACTCACACTGCTCTAGCTTGCCTGTGCTCCTAAGCCCATGGGCAAGGGTGAAATGAGTGATGCCATCTGATGTGCCAAAGTGGTCGACCTCCTCATTCAAAATGAAGTCAAGATGGGGAACTTGCAAGACAAAGGTGGGGGGGATGACTCAGACATACTGGACTGGCCCACCTCAGACCATGAGGAGCATTCACAGGCTGCACAGCCTGCATATTTGACTCCCATGACCAACACTCTGAGTACTGTGAGCAAGGTGCTTGTCAAGCAACACTCATGTTAAGGATTTGCCAAAATCCCAAAATCAATTGGACCATCCAGCACTTTTGTCCAACATTTGTCTTGCCTTCAATCCTCAGGTGCAGGCTGAGCATGCAATATTCCAGAGCAAGATCACCACACTCCAGGCTCAGCTTCATGACAAGCAGCAGGAGCTTGTTGATGTTTTGTGTGACAAATAATTGAAGGTCTTCATGTGCAGCTCCTGGAGGATGCATATGCCCACCTGGGTGTCCAGCAAGAACTCAACATGATGAAGGCAAGGCTGGAGTACCAAGAGCAGATGAGGACAATGATAATGGGTATGGGGAACATGGGTGCTTGGATTGCGCAGTCTATGAATGCCTCTCCCTGTGCTGAGGCCTCACAGCCTTAAGGATGCATGTGTTTGAGGGGCACAGCCTTGTTAGTAGTTACTGCTGGTCTACCACAACATAATGAAACTTAGCCACCTGATCTGCCTTATGAATGTCTGGGAAACACATGTCTTTTAGCTTGTTCCATACCCTCCTCTGCACCTCTGTTTCAGTCCAGATTGGCTTGTATACTGTCTTGAGCTGGTTGATCCCAACCATGTGCACCCTGATCTGGTGCAAGCAGAATACAGTTTCCAGCTGTTAGGGCAACACAGGCTGACTAAGTCTGCTCACCTAAGAGTGCCAAGAGTCTAAGCAGGCAACAAGGAAGTGGAGTAGACCTGAGGACTAAGACCTATCTACAGTATAGGTACCTGTGGATGATCCTAAGAGACCAAGTCTGAAGAGACAGTCCCAAGCAGAGTAGGCCTTATATTTATACCTCTGTGGTGGAACCTGCTAGAACATCTTGCTTACTCAGCCTAGTCAGGTGATCAGGTCATATGACCAAGGATGAGGTCATATGAGGTCATGCACAGCCATGCACAGCAGGTCACCTGACCATCCAATCCTTCCAGCAGGTTCCAGCACATGCCAAGGTATACCAGCTACTTCCATGTCATAAAGGCTTAGTCATGTCTCTTGACCAAGCAATGAGCTGGTGCCCTGACAGGGTCATATGTATGACCCATCTTGAAAAACTCCATTACAATTCACTGTGTCCTACCCTTCCAATAGCCTGTGGATGGTGTGGACCCCCTGACTGTCATTGTGTACCTACCTTCCATGGCTTGAGTCAGGTTGAAGGCATGCACAGGTTTGTAACGATGCTGAAGGGGAGGTGAGGCAGGCTGCACAGGCTGGAAAGCAAGAAGCTCACCTCATTGGCAAACACATCAAACATAGACCCGGCATTGATGCAAAGGAGGGCAGTGGCTGCCA